TGTATAACAAAAGTAAACATGCATTTACCTTTGACCCAGTAATTCCACTTTTTAAGAAATTTACCCTGAAGACACACTGACAACAATATGAAAATACATAAATGCTCATAAATATATTTGATTGAAAAAACCATGGCATATCCACACAACAGAGTACTGTACTATGTAGCTGTAAAAAACAAACGAGTATGACTTTTGTGAGCTAATCTGGGGTGCTTTCCAGGATATATTGTTAAGTGAAAAAAGCAAAGTTCAAAAGAACACACACATACGCACACAGAGTTACCTTTTGTGCAATAAATAAGGAGAAATAAGAAAATATATATTTAACTGCTTATTTTTTGTAAAAAGAAACACAAGAAGGAATAAACTAGAGTCTAATATGATTGGTTGCCCACAGGAGGTAGGTGAGAAGCAGTGAAGAGAATTGGGGTAAAGGGTGAAAGTGATACTTATGCAAGTATACCAATTTGTATCATTCTACTTTTGAAACTATGTTAATGTTTTACATACTCAAAAAACTTAATAAAGTCAAAAGCAATGAAGGGGAAAAAACTAAAATAAAGTACAAACATTAACAAATGAACTTAATTGTAATTTTTTTTTTTTTGGCCATACTGCACAGCATGCGAGATCTTATTTCCGCCACCAGGGATCAAACCTGTGCCCCCTGCAGTGGAAGCTGGGAGTCTTAACCACTGGACCACCAGGGAAGTCCCTTAATTGTATTTCAAATGAAAATCATAATGACACCAAAGAGGAGAAAAAAGGATTAACCCAAGTAACTTTTGAACATAATACTTAGACTATATGAAAGTATATGACAAACTATATTTGTCAGTTTAAGACAAAAGTAGCGATAAGCAAATATTGAACTGTTTCTCAAAGTGTTTCTGGTTTTTGATATGGTATGGGTTAGCAATTCTGAAACTGCTTCCTCTGCATTGCAGGATTGAGAAAATGAGTAAATATATTGAAGATGAGAGCCAGGTTTCCTATTGTTGAAGAAAGGAGTAATAAATATTGAAAGGGGGAAGACTAGAACAAATCCTGCTGTGCTAAAATGGATTGGGGATATCAGTATGAACTATAATTTAGTATATGGATTTATTACCCACATATTATGCATCGATGCATGTATGTATGTATATGTATTTCTTGTTTTTTGGTTCAGTCAACCGAAAGGGCCCAAAGCAAAGACACCCTAGTATCAATAAGCACGTGTAGCACCCAGATCTTGGTTTCTAAATACCATTCTCCACTAAAAGAACCTAGGGAACCAGAGCTCATTATTGTGCCAGAAAGCAAGGAAGTGCTAAAAAAAATGGTGGAAACATATCAAAAAAATGTATGAGCCAACTTGAGCATTAAAATAAATAATAATAATAGTAGAATATTCATGGAGTAAAATAAGAATAAATGAGTCCATCCTGATAAACATTAATAAATGAATGAATGAGAAAGGAAAGCTCTCCCTTATGGTAGACTACCAACTAATAAATATAAGCCAAAAGGTGGAGTTAGAAAATTATCATTTTGCACCCATCATAGTAATATCTCTTCAGCCGTGAATCATCACAAAAATTTGTGGGTGAAAGTTCAGTGAAGAAAGGATAGTTATATAATCTCAAAGTATCCCCTTACAAATTGCTTACTGCAAAGGAAAAAAGTCACTTTACTGTGAATTACCTAGTGAACACTACCTCACACCTTAACCAACTAACTAAAGTTTATATCATTAATAAGTGGAATATATTGACATTACCAGTCTTCTGATATGATGTCCTTAAAAGGACACAATGTCGTTCCTGTGGTATTTCCACTAAACATAACTGTATCTAATCAGTTATGTTAGATTACATACAGATTGAGGGGTATCCTAAAAATAACTTCAGATAAAAAAGGACAAAAGATGTTTATGACAACTAAATGATGCTGGACTAGGCTCCAGACCAGGGGTAAAGAACATAGCTATAGAGAATACTATTAGAATAAATGGTGAAATTTGAATAGGGATTGTGAGTTAGATCAAAGTTTCCCAAATGTTCTTGGTTCAAGGTGCCCTTAGTGTCTCGATAATTTTTTCATGGGGTTCCTGAGCCAAGAAAAAATCTAGTTCCAAACAACTTATTAAATATTTATGCCCTAAAATTTAGTTGCCATTTGCAAAACTAATACAGATAAATTGAAAGAAAAATATTTTTATTTCATTCTTAAATAACCACAATTACTTACTAATGGGATTTATGCAGCTACTGTGCACTGCACAACTTCTCAAACCTTGGAATCAGATTGGCCACGACCACACTTATTTCCTGCTCTACATTGATTTTTGCGCTGTACTTTTTATCACAAACACCAGAAAACCCAGCTTCCCAAATATATGACATATCCAAGGAATATGGCGCCATCTATTGTTAAAATTGTACATAGCCTCGAGTGAGTAGTTTTGCATAGTTTTTCTTGCCTTGAGAATTTAGAATTAAAATATCGCAGATATCCCCTAAGAATTCACTGTGGTGCTGTGGGGCACCCAGCGCACAGTTTGAGAACCACAGGATTAGATAATAGTGTTGTATCAATGTTACATTTCCTCATTTTGATACATATACTGTTGCTATGTAAGAGAATGTCCTTGTTCTTAGGAAATGAACATTGGAGTATTTATGAATAAAGAAAGATGTCTGCAAATTACTCTCAAATGACTTAGAAAAAAATGTGTGTATATTTGTGTATACATAGATAGTTAGCACAATTGATATAGTAAATGAGCAAAATATTAACAATGAATCTGGATAAGTGGTATACAAGGTTTTATTTCCCCCTACTATTCTTGAAATTTTTGAAATTATTTCAAAATAAAGATTTCTAAAAGATGAAATACAATATTATATTTCGAGGTGTATATACATATGTAGTAAAACAACTTTTAAATGGGTGGAAATTAAAAGCACCAACTCAAATAGTTGCGATGCTTTGTAGAGTGGGAAGAGGGATGTACATTTGGGGAAGAATACACACAATATTGCTGATGTTTTATTTGTTAAGGTTAAGTGGTGGATACACAGATATTCATCACATTATTCTTAATATCTTTAAGTATGTCCAACATATTTCATAATTTATTTTAAATAATACATATCTAGAATCTTTCTTAATACATAAAGATAAAAAAACACGAGTAAATGAAAGTACATGGCTGTTGTTTATTGGGGATTACCATGTATTTCATGTACATTATCTCCTGTAACCCTTTCCACCACTCCATGCCCATGTCATGCCAACTTAATGTATAATAGGGCTGACTCCAGAGCTCACATTCCTAACCCCCATACCGTATCTTCCAGCTCCATACACAGCTAATTCATGCTTCTCTTTCTTCTTTTTACCTTAGACTGGGAGAGAAAGCTAACCAACTTTCTAGCTTTTTCAATTTCAAACTAACTTAACACACCTAGTAAACAATGGCTGTACATATTCAAACCTTGAAAACATCAGTATGAAAAAACGGTAATAAATTTTAATCTTCAGCACATTTTACTGCTCTTATGCTCAATAGTATTATACCTAACCAGTCTTTAATAGTTGAAGATCTGACATTTTGCAATTACTCTTCTACAATACCAGTTCTATTACCGGGTCAGAGCTGAACTATCAAAGAAACAGACGTTTATTGATTTATCAAATCATACTGAGAGATTAACATCTGGAAAATCAGTATAAATCCAATTCTTTTAAGCTTTAAACTATCAAAATGCTAACTAGGACTTATATTTCATATTTGTAAAGAATTTTAGAAGCTTCATTGAACTAAGTTATATTGTTGATTATGAAAACAATCCAAAATAAGCTATTTTCTTACAAAGCATTTACTGTTTAAAAATTAAATTTTAAAATTAAAATGCTTGAAAATCTAATTTAAAATAACTGTTACAAAATTTTGAACCTCTAGTCACTATCTTCCTGCAATGTATTAATGATGCTTAAAGCTATGTGAGAACAGAAGCAATGCTGCCTTTGCCCTCGTAATTTACCGGGAAATTGGCAGCCATTCTTTTTCAGGGTACTAAATAATCATTTGTCAAGTTCTATTTATCTTCTGTAACTACAGATATTGACTCAAAAAACTACAGTTCCTCTCAGACTGATTTCTATTCTAGCAGATGCTTTTCTTCTCATCGCTTGCAATCAGAATAGAGTGGTTATCTTAGAATTCATTATTATTCTACTGTTATATTATCAGCTAAAGGAAAGGTGAGAACAGAAGATGGGGTTAAATTTACATGAGTAGCAGCGACAGAAGGTAAACAGAGCACACAGCTACAACCACACACACTTGATAGAACTAAAAGAGTGTAAGAAACGTCTAGTCTGAGCTTTCCGCCTGCAGATGAGAACTATGTAATATAAGATCAAGGACTAAACTAAAACCTGTCTTGACTCCAAATGGACAACCTTTTTTTTTTTAATGATAGGTACAAGATTCAGATCTTGCCTAATGGCCCTCTTCCAGAACCAAAGCCCGACTTCCCCACTTCCCTGGTTCCAGTTTTCAGGAGAAAGTCCTCTCAGGAAGCCCGAAGGGAAACATCATATTGGAAGATGGGTCAGTGGATCGGCCCATGGGTACTGAAGCATACACAAAAAGTACCCCAAAACGGACCGTGGTCTACTTCGAATATTTAGCGCCACTGGCCCTTGAACTAACCCATAATTCCAGCTACTTCCAGTCCGAGGATCTGCCCTGAATAGCCAATAAATTTCTACCACTCTGCTGCGAACCTAACAAATGTCTATGTCCTGTCGCCCCCTGAACACAAGGGAGTGCCCTCCCGGCAGAGTAATCTCAGCAACCTGCCGAAGCCACCTTCCTGCCGAGGGACGCAGCCCGGACTAAATCCCGCGACCCCAGAGAACAGCCTCCGGAGCCTGGCGATGACGTCACGCTGCCCCTTTCTAGCATCGCGAGACTCTCTCCTCCCTCACCCCGTTCCCTAAGCTCCCAGCTGCCCGCGCTCGCTACGAGACAGAGGCAGGCATGGCAAGCCGCGGATCCGGGGTGGTGACGAGAGTAGCAGTTCCGCCATTGGTCGAGGAAGCCTGAGGGACGGGCCAGCGTGGGGAGCAAGGAGAGACCAAGGCGGTGGCCCCGAGAGAGCCAGAGCAATGGAGGCCAACATACCGAAGCGGAAGGAGCCTGGCAAGTCCCTGCGTATCAAAGTCATCTCCATGGGCAACGCTGAAGTGGGAAAAGTGAGTACCGCGCTGGGAGGGGCGGGACCACAGCGCAGCGGAGCGACGTGGCGATTGGCTGGGAAGGCGGCCACTCAACAGCTTGGGACCCAGCCTCCTTCCCGCCCCTGAGCAGGCCTGGGTGTCCTGGGGGATGCGGCTCGGCGGGGAAAACTCTCCTAACCTTTTTGACCTTTGGGTTGCCCACTTCCGACACATAAGAAGGTTTTCTAGTGGCTTCTAACCCTTGAATGTATCCCAAAGAGAGTAAGGAGGCCTGGGTCCTTATGTCAGATCGTTTTGCCTGGATACCATATTTGCGTTCTAGGTGGTCCGTCCAGGACTCAGAGGTGGAGAAAAAAAGTTTAGTTACCCCCAGCAGAGCTGGGGAGCCGAAGGGAACTTACTGGGACGTGTGTGAGGATGGGGATTTGTAAAATTTACTCCGCAGACGTGGAGGCCAGAATCTACATTTCATTTGTAAGAGAGCATAACTGATGCTGAAGGTGTTTCACAGGGTACGTGCAATGGATGTCAAGGAACCTGCATTATTTTGTTTTGTTCGTTTGTTTTGTTTTTATTTCTGGTAGTGTCACCACATCCATTATCTCAAAGAAGTCTTAGTTCCACTGCCTTTTTCTGTGCTGCTTCTACTGGCTGTCAGCTCTAAGCTCTCCCATAGTATGGGGGGAGGGAGGGCGAGAGGTGAATGGAGGTCTTTCCCCACATGAATTCTAAGACTGCCTCTTCTTCACCCAAATTGTCTCTCCTTCAGGGTAAATGGAAGCTGTTGGTTAAGAACCTTCCGAGGTCATCAAATCAGTGACTGAGACAGAATTAGAACCTGGGTGTTCACATTCATTGCAGTGCTCTCTTTCCATCATTATTTGCTGTCAAAAATCAACTCCCAGTAGGATCTACATGCCAAAAAAGCTGTTAATGGGAGTGTTTATGCCAGTGTCCTGCACATAGTTGATGCTCAGTAAATGTTTATTAGTGTCTTCTCTTTCCATTTAGTATTATCTTGTACTGTTTATGTATCTTTGTGTATGTGGGTATTAACATAGCTGAAAGTCTACAATTATTGAATGTCAGTTATGTGCCAGGCATTGTAAAGAAAAGAATAAAACCTCTAGAAGGTTATGTACTAAACTGGCTAAGTGAGTATGCTCACTTTTAAAATTTTACTATGCTTAATGGTGCAATGTTAGAAATAGCTTAAAATGCCCAGTGTGCCACCACATTTATGTAATATGGTTCTAGATTTATTAGCCCATGCAATTAGACAAGGGAAAGAAATAACATACAAAATGCTGGAAAGGAGAAAGAAAAATTATCAGTATTTGTTAATGATATGATTGTTTATCTGGAAACCCAAAGAGAATTAACTGAAACGCTATTAGAAAAGACAAAATTAATATACAAAACTTTACAGCTTTACTATATCAAATTATAATTGTTTGGACTATATAATTGAAAAACTTTTTTTTTTTTTTGCGGTACGCGGGCCCCTCACTGTTGTGGCCTCTCCCGTTGCAGAGCACAGGCTGTGGACGCGCAGGTTCAGCGGCCATGGCTCATGGGCCCAGCCGCTCTGTGGCACATGGGATCTTCCCGGACCAGGGCACGAACCTGTGTCCCCTGCATCGGCAGGCAGACTCCCAACCACTGCGCCACCAGGGAAGCCCTGAAAAACTATTTTAATTTACAATAACAACCAAAATAAAGGGCCTAGGTTTAAACTTACGAAGAAATAGGGAGCACCTAGGACCTATATGAAAAACATTTCTACAAAGGGCCACAAAATTACTTAGACAGATGGAAAGATATACTTTCTTCTTAATTAGGATCACTCAATATTTTAGAGATGTCAGTTCTTTAAAATAATCTACGAATGTGATTCAGTTCCAGTTAAAACAGCAATACTGTTTTTTTTCTTCAGAACATAGTAAAAGGTACTAAAGTCCTTATGAAAAATTAAATGTGAGAATCAGCAAGAAAATTATGGAAAAGAAATGAGAGGAGACTAACACTACCAGATATTAAAACGTATTTTAAAGTTACAGTCTTTTCCTATTGATACTGGAGAGGAAATATAGGGACATCAGTGGAACAGAATGGAGTCCAGAAATGAACCCAAACATATAAGGAAATTCAGTTTACAACAAATATAGTTAAACTGGGAAAGTAGGGACCATTTAGTAAACACTTTTACAACAACTTTCTACTATTTGGGGGTGGAGTGGATTCCTATTGAATGCCTTTCTCAAAGATAAATTTTTCACAGATAAAAGATTTAAATGTAATTTAAGAATTTTGCCTTAGTTATAAAAGTAATACATACTCATTTTAAAGAATTCGGAAAATATAGGAAGATATACAGATAAATAATTTCAAGTTAAAAATTAAGGCATGCCCTAGTAAATAATCCTTGCATCAAAGGGCAAATCAAAGCAAATGACAAAATAACTAGAAAGCAATGAAAGGAGAGAATGCATGCCAAAATCTTCAGGGCAAATTTAAAGCTGTAGTGAAGGGAAAATGCATTATCTTACTCATTTCTAAAAAAGGGAGATTAAAAACTAAAGGAACATAATAGTTGTACAACTTTGTGAATATGCCTAGAACCGCTGAATTGTACGCCTTAAAAGTATGAATATTATGGTATATTATGGTATGGAATTTTAAAAAGTAAAGGAACTTAAGACAGAAGAAAAAGGACACAAAATTCACCAAGAGAAAGAGAGAATTCCCTGGAAAGATTAATGAAAAAGAAAAATGCCTAAAATTTTATTTAAGAAAAATAGAGAAAGCAAAAAATTACAAGATTAATACTGAAAAGGAGACATAATCACATACTGGAAGAAACTGAAAGAAAGACTAGAGACTACTACATTCAGTTCTGTGGGAGCACATTTCAAAATGTAGAGGAAATGGAGGATTTCTTAGCTAAATATAAATTACCAAAATTGACTCAAAAAGTAGAAAACCCAAATGACCAGTCACTTAAGGAGAAGTTGGAAAAGCAATTAAAAGACTTACTATCCAAAAAGGTATCAGGATCAGATGGCTTCATGAACAAGCTTTATTTAAGCTCTAAATAACGCATAATTTCAGTTAAGTTATTCCAAGGCAAAGAAAAAGATGAACAGCACTCCAATTTATTTATGTAAAGTCATGATAACTTAAATAGCAAAACTTGATATAGTATCAAAAAAGAAAAGTATATACCATTTTTACATATACATACAGATGCATAATTCCTAAATATCCACAAATAGAATTCAGCAACATATCAAAACAATTTCACTATTAGCAACTAGGGTTTATCCCACGGAGTGCAAACTTGGTTAAACATCAAGAAGTTAATCAACATAATTTGTTATATGAACTGATTACTAGAGAAAGTATTTTCTGTACTGTAAAAAAGAAAATAATATAATCAACCTAATAAACACTTTAAGCAAAATCAGAATAAAATGAAACTACTTAAATATGAAAAATAATGTTTTTTATTATTATTTTTAAAACAATAGTTATTGTTAACCAACAGCAAACATACCAAATGGTAAGTCCATTTCCTTTAAAATTAGATGCAGGAAAGGATACATACTATTTTCTTTTATTATTCAGCATTGTTTTAGAGGTTCTGGAGATGCAGTAAGAAAAAGGAGATTCCCAAGGGCTTAACTCCCTCAATGGGGGAATTTCTCTGTGGTCTTTGTTTATATCCAATTCAGCTTTCTGCATTGGCATTAGTTTACCCCAGAATCCCAGCCCAGTTCTCAGTGTCCTCTAGGATCTGATCCTGATGTTCTTACCATTGACTCTTCATATCAACCAACTCTGAAGACTGCCCTAATTCTAGATTTCCAGTTATAGTAAATATTTTCCTGTTAAGTCAGTTGAATTGGTTTCCCTTACTTGCAGTCAAAAGTACCCACATCGTACAGTATTATATATACTTCTCTGGAGTTTGCGTTCTCTCTCTCTTTTTTTTTAAAATGACATCCAGGCTTTATTTATTTATTTTATTTATTTATTTTTTGGCTGTGTTGGGTCTTCATTGCTGCGCACAGGCTGTCTCTAGTTGCAGCGAGCGGGGGCTACTCTTCATTGCAGTGGGCGGGCTTCTCATTGCAGTGGCTTCTCTTATTGTGGAGTGCGGGCTCTAGGCACATGGGCTTCAGTAGTTGCAGCATGTGGGCTCAGTAGTTGTGGCTCACGGGCTCTAGAGCACAGGCTCAGTAGTTGTGGTGCACAGGCTTAGTTGCTCCGTGGCATGTGGAATCTTCCCAGACCAGGGATCAAACCTGTGTCCCCTGCATTGACAGGGGGATTCTCAACCACTGCACCACCAGGGAAGTCCTGCTTTTTCTCTCTTAACAGTAGATTGTGGTGATTCCTCCAATTATCTGACATAGCTCCAGTCACTCTTTTTCATGGTTGCATAATAGTCCGTGACATGCGAGTATCCCCTCTATTAATGAGAATTCACTTGTTTCCCTTTTTCTCTACTACAAACAATCTTGCTATAATACATTTCTATAGGTATATATATCCTTAAATACCTGGACTAGATTCCCAGGGGTAGAACTGCTGAGTTGAATAGCACATTTTAAAATTTTAGTAGCAATTGCCAATTGCTCTTCAAAAAGGTGTGTTTCTACCAGTAATATGCTGGTACATTTCCCCTAACTCCCTGCCAACACAGTATTGTCATTCTTTCGATTGCTACTGATCTGGTTAGTGGGAAGTAATTTCATTGTTACTTTAATTTGCATTTCACTGACCACAGATGAAGCTGAGCATCTTTTCAAATGCTTATTGAACATTTGGATTTGCTTTTCTGTGAATTGCTCAATTTATAGTCCCTGCCTATTTTTCTGTCGGATAATGTGTCTTTCTTACCAGTTTTTCTGGTTGGGGGACGTTAGAGTTATTAACTTTTTGCCGGTCATATGAGTTACAGATATTTGCCCCAGTATGTTGTCTTTTAATACTTTTATATTTTACCATACAATTGATTTTATTATTATTTGTATATACTCAATTATGCCTATCTTTTTAAAATTGAAATATAGTTGGCGTATAATATTATGTTAGCTCCAGGTGTACTACATAGTGATTTGACATTTGCATATGTTATGAAATGATCACCACAAGTCTAGTAACCAGCTGTCCCCATACAAAGTTATTACAATATTATTGACTATATTCCTTATGCTGTATAACACATCCTAGTAGCTTACGTTTTGTAAGTGGAGGTTTGTACCTGTTAATCCCATTCATCTATTTCACTTCCCCATCCCCCGTACCCTCTGGCAACCACCCATTTGTTCTCTGTATCTATGAGTCTGTTTCTGTTTTGTTTGTTTGCTTTGTTTTTTAGATTCTACATATAAGTGAGATCATATGCTAGTTGTCCTTCTTTGACTTATTTCACTTAGCATAATTCCCTCTAGAATTCATTCATGTTTTCACAAATGGTAAGGTTTCATTTTTTTAAAATAGCTGAGTAATATTCCATTTTTATATGTCACATCTTCTTTATCCATTCGTCTACGGATGGACACTTAGGTTGCTTCCATATCTTGGCTATTGTAAATAATGCTGCAGTGAACATTGGGGTGCATATATTTTTTCGAATTGGTGTTTTTGTTTTCTTCAGGTATATACCCACAGGTGAAATTGCTGGATCATATGGTAGTTCTATTTTATTTTTTTTAGGAACCACCATACTGTTTTCCATGTGGCTGCACCAATTTACAATCCCACCAGCATTGCACGAGGGTTCCTTTTTTTTTCACATCTTCTCTAACACTTGTCATTTATTGTCTTTTTGATGATAGACATTCTGACAGGTGTAAAAGGTGATATCTCATTGTGGTTTTGATTTGCATTTCCCTAATGATTAGTGGTGCTGAGCATCTTTTTCATGTGCCTGTTGACCATCTGTATGTCTTCTTTGGAAAAATGTCTATTCAGATCCTCTGCCCATTTTTTTATTGGGTTTTTTTGATGTTGAGTTGTCTGTGTTCTTTCTATATTTTGAATATTAACCCCTTATCAGATATATCGTTTGCAAGTATATTCTCTCAGTCAGTAGGCTACCTTTTCATTTTGTTGATAGTTTCCTTTGCTGTGCAAAAGCTTTTTAGTTTGATGTAGCCCCATTTGTTTATTTTTACTTTTGTCTCTCTTGCCTGAAAAGACAGATCCAAAAAAATTTTGCTAAGACTGATGTCAAAGAGTGTACTACCTATGTTTTCTTCTAGGAGTTTTATGGTTTCAGGACTTAGATTTAAGTCTTTAATCCATTTTGACTTTATTTTTGTATATGGTGTGAGAAAGTAGTCCAGTTGATTCTTTTACATATAGCTGTCCAGTTTTCCCAACACCATTTATTGAAGGGGGTGTGTTTTACCATTATATATTCTTCCCTCTTTGTCATTGATTAATTGACCATATAAGTGTGGGTTTGTTTCTGGGCTCTCTATTCTGTTCCATTGATATATGTGTCTGTTTTTGTGTCAATAACCTACTGTTTTGATTACTGTCATTTTGTAGTATAGCTTGAAATCAGGGGGTATCATACCTCCAGCTTTGTTCTTTTTTCAAGATTGCTTTGGCTATGCCTGTCTTTTTTTTTTTTTTTTTCTTTATTGGAGTATGGTTGCTTTACAATGTTGTGTTAGCCTCCACTGCACAACAAAATGAATCAGCCATACACATACAGATTATGCCTGTCTTTTATGGTTTCTGGGTTTTCTTTCTTGGTTGAAAAGGTTTCCCTAAGGTTGTACATATATTGCACATTTTCTTCTGAAATTTTTATTGTTTTATTTTTAAATGCTTAAATCATAAATTTATCTGTAATTTATTTTTGTATATAGGGAAATTCAGGGCCCAACTTAATTTTTTTCCTGATGGATATGCAATTATGCCAGCAACATTTTACTAAATAGATTTTTTTTTCCCATTGACTTTAAATATCACCTTTGTCACTTTTAAAATTTTTATATATAATGGGATCTATTTCTGAGCTCTCTGTTCTGTTCTACTGACCTACTTGTCTATTCTTATGCCAGTATAATACTCTCTCAGTTTCAGACTGTATTTTAATATTTGTCAATACAAATTCCCACCTCTTTCTACTGCCCTGCCCCTTTCCTGTTTTTCATACTTGGATTAGTTCTTCTCAGATAACTGTTCTTTCATATGAATTTTAGGGTAATTCTATTAGGCAAAAAAAAGATTCAAACCTTAAGATTATTTTTTCAAAACTTAAGATTTTAATTGGTTAAGATTTTAATTGGGACTGCATTAAAAAAGTACCTAAAAAATCTATTTAAGAAAATAGAGAAAGCAAAAAAGTCTCTCTATATTTATGTTATTTAACTTAGTTTATAAGATCCTAAGGTCCGGGAACCCTGTCTCTTTGGTTATAGGGAGTGGTTATTCATACCATTAATTAAATGTGAATCTCTTTATTAGGGCTAGTGTTTAAATAGTGTACTGGAATTAAAGGACTTCCAGGTCCCTTAATCTCATGAATAATTTAGAAAAAGGCTGTATTTATTATTCTAGGATATTGTGAGAGAAAACATTTGAGAAGTGCTTTCAACCTGTAAAGTGTTTTTTAAAAGTATAGCCTCTTAGCAGTACTCACTCCAAAGAAGTTTTTCCTTCAGTTCACAATGAGCTTATTAAGTACTTTTTAAAGCAACTGTCCTATTTAATATAGATTGACGTTCATCAGGAAAGTATTTGAGCAGAATAAGCTTCATGACCAGCACTTCAAGTAAATTATGTTTCATGAGTGCTAAGGATCGCCATTAACGTACAAGTCATTTTAATTCAGTTTTTCATTGGCACTGAGCTAATTGCTCAGATATAAAGTTATAAGATATAAAGAAGTAAAATACTGGTGCTTGCCCTCAAGTAGTTTACTGTCTAGCTGAAGAAGTAAGATAAATATGCACATGTGAAAAGATAACAAGGCAGTGAATAATTGATAACTATTACATTATATATGTATATATACATTTATATACATATATAGTATATGTACTGTATACACATATAGTATATAAAAAGTTTTAGAGAAGTTCAGATGTAGGCAAGATCTCTTATAACCTGGAAGCTCAGAGTTTGCACTGGACCTTAAAGGATAAGTAAGATTTGGAAAGAAGGGAGAAAGCTCTTTCCAAGTAGAGAGAAAAGTAATGACAAAAGTCAGGCCTGGAAAAAAAAAAAAAAAAAAGTCAGGCTTGGGAGTTTTGCAGAAATGGAGGGTTTATATTCGAAGGGTTTAGACAGAAAAGACAGATTAGGGCCAGATTATGGAGGATCTTGAATAACGGACAAAGGAATTTGGATGCTGAACTCTTGGCAGTGAGAAGCCACTGAAGATTTTTGAGTTAGGGAAGTGAAATAACATTAGTGGTATGCAGTGCTGATTGAAGTTGGGAGGGAAAGGGAACGTAAAGACCAATAAAGAATTTCCTGTAGTTGTAGTTGTACAGAAGTAGATGATGAAGACTTAAACCAGAATGGTACCAGTGGGAATTGGAGTGAGGAGAAAGATGGAAGAAACATTCAAAAGAAGATTTAGAGAGACTCAGAATCAAATGTGACTTTAATAATTTAATACCCTGTAATTGGGAAAATGGTGGTTTTATTAACAGAACTAGGATGTGAGCAGGATTTGCTGTTTTTATGTATAAGATTGGTTCATTTTTGGGTATTTTGAGTTTGTGGAACAGTGAGTGGGGCATCTAAGTAGAAATTAGTCTGGTAGATATTTGGAGATGTGGATCTGGTCTGGGGAGGGAGGTCAAGGTAGATACATATTTTGGTATTATTATTAAAAATATACGAGCAGGAGAGGTCTTCAAAAGAAAAGAGAAGGACTTCCCTGGTGGCTCAGTGATTAAGAATCCGCCTGCCAATGCAGGGGACATGGATTCAATCCCTGGTCCGGGAAGATCCCACGTGCCGCTGAGCAGCTAAGCCCGTGCGCCACAACTGCTGAGCCTGCGCTCTAGAGCTGGGGAGCCACAACTACTGAGCCCATGTGCCACAACTACTGAAGCCCTCGTGCCTAGAGCCCGTGCTCCACAACAAGAGAAGCCACCACAAGGAGAAAACCATGCACCACAAGAAGCGTAGCCCCTACTCGCTGCAACTAGAGAAAGCCCACGCGCAGCAACGAAGACCCAACACAGCCAAAAATAAATAAATAAATAAAAATAATTTATTAAAAAAAAAAAGAAAAGAGAACAAGGATTGAACACTAAACTGAAAACATACCCATATTTGGTATTAAGGGAAGAATTTTTAAATAATTTTTCTTTAAAATCTTCACCTTTAGTATTTGTTTCAGTTATTTTATAGTTTTGGCTTTGGAAAAGCTTTGTGTCTCGTGGTGAATGAAGAAACCATAATGAAGAAATGTGCTTATTTTGTATACGTTCCCAGAGTGTCTTTACTAAAAGCATGTATTTTTACCTTTTTAGAGCTGTATTATAAAGCGATACTGTGAGAAAAGATTTGTGTCTAAATACCTTGCAACAATTGGAATTGACTATGGAGTCACAAAGTGAGTACATATATTCTTTCCTTGGGCTTGCAAATTACATAGAAATTCAGAACCCTTCTAAACTGATCTGTCTTGAAATGGAGAGTCTGAAGATAAACTGGGACACATAAGAATGAGACCTTTACAGATAGTAGTAATCACATCATTTGTTCATCATGGAGTACCTTCTGTTTGCCAGGCTTCGTGTGGGGTGTAGGGTCTGGTGATGAGCAAGTCTGCACGAAGCCTGCCTGGCAGATGTAGCTTTTCAGGAAGCATGTTTCTATATAAGCAGGTCTCGTTAGCAGGTATATTTTTAGAGAATTTTGAAATATTCTCTCCCAAAAGCCTAAATATTATGTGGAAAATTTTCTATCAGAGAACTTCCTTTTATGATCTTTACATCCTATTAGAATCCAGCAAAAATGATCTGGGAAGAGTAAAATTAGGTATAAATGGGGATTTATTTGGAGATGAATCAAGGGTGGGTTGAGCTTGGGGAGATAGGGTCACATTAACAGGAAATTACACTGGGGGAAAGTAGAATTGGGGTAGACAGCACATCCCCAAAGGTGGAATTTTAGGTGCTCACTGTTCAGACCCCAACCTGCCCCTTCCCTTCTCTCTTATCTCATTCTTTTACACACTTTACTCTCCACCCATGCTGAATTTGTGCCATCATACTTTCCTATCTCAGTGCCATCATTCATTCTGTCCACCTGAAATGTCCTTTCCCCTCATCTCTCCGCCTGTCAATCTCCTCAAGGTATAAAGTGTAACTGTTCCCATATGGCTTTCTGAACAGCTCCTTTATCAGTCAGGACTCATTTTAGTTGAAAATGACAGAAATATTAAAATTCTCTGCTATTCATGGGTCTTAGCATAAATTGTCTTGTGTTATCATTTGTATATGTTTAATGTCTCCTGCTAGATTTAAAGCTCCATTAAGAAGGGGCTATTAGTATAAATTATCTGCAAGTGCCTGGTACAGTGCTTATACATAGTCGATACTCAATAAATAATTATTGTTAGGTAAGGTGATACATCTGAAGAGGAAGTTTGCAACATTAGAATATGAGGGCAACATTCAAGAAGGTAGACTAAAGTGTAGGGTGTATCTATACTTCAGGGCACAGGATTTCATCAGTTATATGGTAGGATATCCTATTCAAGGCAGTTTTGTTTTGAATCCATGTTAAGTAGCTAATTTATTCATTTAAGAAATAAGAGTTACCATGTTATGCCCTAGAACTGTGGTTTATTCAACAGACTACAGTCATCTCTCAATATCCAAGGGATGTTGGTTCCAGGATCCCCTGTGGATGCCAAAATCTGCAGATGTTCAAGTCCCTTATATAAAATAGTGTAGTATTTGCATGTAACCTATGCACATCCTCTCAATACTTTAAATCATCTCTATAATACCTAATACAATATATCAATAAATAGTTTTAAATACAGTGTTAATGCTATGTAAATATATAGTTGCCACCTTGTGGCAAATTCAAGTTTTGCTTTTTAGAACTTTCTGGAATTTTTTTCTGAATATTTTTGATCCAAGTTTAGTCGAATCCATGGATACAGAGCCTTCCGTAAGGCTGACTGTATTGTTTCTGGTTGATTTTTTATTTTTATTTTTTGTCTTATGGTGAGGAGGAGAATATGATTGACAGAAACCCAACTCAAGCCAAAAAAAAATTCAGCTCACATAATCCAATTATAAGGATGTAGCTGGGCCTCAGAGATCGCTGGAACCAGGGAGAGAATATAACCTGGTCCTTCCATGACGTGTTTCTCTCTACCTTTTGGCTCCTTCTCCACAGCTGCTGGTAGCTCTCAAGTTTACCAAAACTAATCACAAATTTAAAAAATACCAGGTAAGGTTTTGATTGTCCAGGTGGAGATAGGTGCCTTTCCCCAGCTCAGTTAACTGTGGCCAGCAGAGTGGCATCAAAAAAGAAGATGGAAGAACCCATTTAAACCACAGTTGGGAGAAGGAGGGTACTCTTTTGGGCAGTCAAAACAATAGATTCGTATATGTATAGCTGATTCACTTTGTTATAAAGCAGAAACTAACACACCATTGTAAAGCAATTATACTCCAATAAAAATGTTAAAAGACAAAACAAAACAAAAATAGATTCCCACTCCATCCTTCAGATTTCAGTATACTTAAGAATTAGTTGTAGAGTTTGTGAAAATGAATATTCCTAAGGCCCACCCACTAAGATTCTGATTCACGGGATCTGAGGTGGGGCACAGGACTACATTTTAAACACTCTCCCCATATTTCCATATAATGATGCAGGTGGTCTTCAGGCCACAATTTAGGAAAGCAAGCACTGGTTTGAGGTAATGAATTACCATTTTTCTCAAGGTAATTTCCTCTGTCAGACTTCTGAATTAAATTGACCTCTTTTGAGTTTCAATTTGTGAACACATTTGTGTTACTTCCTGATTTTATAAACTTCAGTTCCATCCCTTCTCAGCTGCTATCTGGCAAAACTTTCTAATATAAATTGTTACACGAGATCTAATGCAGGTGCTCTCAAACTCTGTTGTTGTTTTGTTTTGCTGTTCTCACACTGTCTTTTGTAAGATGGATCCTGATTTCACAGATGTTAAAATGAAAACAAATTTGCATCTTAGAATTGATGAAATATGGCAGAGAATTCAGGAATGAAGAAATCATGATGATTAGTAGTTACTTTGATTGAAATATACAAGTAATATAAAACAACTGTAGGAATTACGGTTTCAGAAAAGAAAGTGGAAAAAAAAGTGAAAAAAAAGTAATAGAGGATATTATAAACTTGGACAGGGAACAATAATCATAAATAAGCCAGGAGGTAGTATAGAAACAATGGGAGCAGGTGCTGCTGTCCTTGTAGTCCATGGGAGGGACTCTTATCAATGCTGTCTAAACTGAAACATGCTACTTAAAAAAACATAACTTTAATCTGTTAATTTATTGCTAATAATCTCCATTTTTAACCTTACAGGAATGTTTTTAGGAAATACTGTTTCTGTAGTAAAGAGCATTTATATTTAAAGCTCAATAATTCCTCCCAGTTTACATCAGTTTCTTTTTTTTTCTTTTGTTAAATTCAGTGAGATGTAAATTTTACGCTTTTAAATTAATATAATCCCAATTTTATAAAAATATTTATGTCTATCAGTCTTATCTATGTACACAAAGAAGTCTACAGTAATGTTCATCTATATTAATGAAGGTTTTTCTTCTGGGTGGTAAGATTTGGGATAACTTTTAAACTTTCATCTTTCTACTTTTCTTTAGTGTTTGAATTATTTATGAAGTTTCATTCATTCATTTTCCAATAGTGATTTTAATTTTTTTTTTGTATGTGAACATTCATAGAAGCTATATTTCTAGTAGCGCCAAGTTAGAAACAACTCAACTGTCCATCAACAGATTAATGGATAAACAAACTGTGGCATATTCATGTGATGGAGTGCTACTCAGCAACGAGAGGAACAAACTATTCATATATGCAGCAACATAGATAAACCCTAAAATAATAATGTTGAGTAAAAGAAGGTAGACAAAAAAGTGAACACACGGTATGATTCCACATATATCCAATTCTAGAAAAAGTAAACTGACCTAATAGTGACTGACAGCAGATCAGTGGTTGGCTAAGCAGGGCAGGAAGGGCAGGAAGGAGGGGTTTCAAAGGGGCCCAAGGAAACGAGTGATACGTTCATTGTCTTGACTGTGGTGATGGCTTCACAGGCGTAGACATATGTCAAACTCATCAAATTATATACTTTAAACATGCGCAGCTTACTGTACATCAATTATACTAAAGTAAAGCCGTCCTAAAGAAGGAGGAGGAGGGAAGGTGGCAGCCCTTGGCCCCGTGGTGGAGACCAGTCACTCCTCTGCTCTCCTGGTTGGGTGCAGATGTGAGTGTGGGGTTTATCTACAGAATCTTGTCTCCTCTGCCATCCAGGTATTCTTTACCTACACAGCTGTGTCTCCCCCAGTTGTTCCAGGTTTCTCAAAGGCAGGGCAGTGCCTTCTGTGTCCAGCCTCTCCTGGGGTTGACCATTCTAGTCTGGTCACATATTTGCAGAGATGGGCAGCCAAGATAGGGAGGTTCTGTAACATCTGGTGCGTGGGCTCTGCTGCTTCAGAGGGCAGAAATGGGGCCACACAGGAGCCACAGGGACCGCATGCCAGGTCAGCACCTTTGCTGGGCAGCTTGCCCTCGGTTTGCCCTAACACCACTGAGTGTGGGCGGGGAGACGACTCCACACCCTTCTTTCCAGATAAGAAAACGAGGCCCAGAGTCCTGGGGTGAGGACCGAGGTGAAAAAAGAATGGAAACGGCCTCCCAAAGGAGGCTGCCTGCAGTCACGCACAATCCTTCAAGGGTCCCGCGGCCTGCCCCATTACTCCGTCAGCCATCCCCAACCAGCCGCCTTTGCTATAGAAACAGTAATAGTGATTTTTCTTTAAAAAAATAAAAGGACTGGAAGCAAGTATACTGTGATGTTAACAGTAGTTAATTCTAACATGAATGGTTGTTACTTCCCTTTTTGTTCTCTTCTGTATTTCCAAATTTCTGAAAACAAATTGACTATTGTTCTTGCTCAGATGAAGGGCATAGGAAAATTAAACAATCAACATTAATAATATACATCTTTATACTGTTTATTTTATACTATTTATTGTACTGCATGGTAACCAAGCATAACCAGTAGTAATTACGATGTCTTACTAAGTGAAGTAAAACATTTTGTTTTCCTTCATCTTGCTCCTACTGTCCCTAATCCATTTTTTTTTTTTAAGCACCACAGTAATAGCTACTATTTGTTTGTTACGGGGTGTGGACTGAAGTGTCGAGGTAAGGTGAGGCTAAATGAGGGTGTTTATTCCAAGTGAGTTCAGGGTTCTTAAAACAGGAGCCACCTGCCAGGTTGTGACTCCTGTGGTAAAGATTATCTGGAATCAAGAAGAGGCACTAAGAAAGTACCTCTTTTAAATTTCATACACATAGCCTTTTGAAATTCAAAGCGACATAAATGATATTAATATGAATACAGAAGCCATGACCTTCTTTGGGATTGTTTGCATTTGAACATTTCAGGGTACAAGTCAGAGACAGAGAAATCAAAGTTAACATCTTCGATATGGCTGGACATCCCTTCTTCTACGAGGTAAGAAAGACTTTTTGAGAAAACCTATATCCAGTATTGTCAGTGGGTTGAAGGAAAGATCCCGAATTACCGAACAACCAGTATTCAAGTCATGTGTAAAAATAGGTAAATTTAGCTGGTGTTTGTGGCTTCCCTTCGGAGCTTTACCTTAATGAATATCTGTTGGTCTTCTGTGCTGTCCCCTTAAATAGTAGGAAATTTTGTTGCTAATGTTTCAAACACTTAGATAAGACATTTTAACCTTCAAAGGACTGTTGCTTTTTACTTTGTGCCTTAGCCCAGAATGTGAAAAGATAATTACATAGGTATAGGAACTTAGGAATTCAGAAATGAACCCTTTGTAGCAGTGTTCTAGGGCGATTTTCCAGTGCACTTCTCAGTCATGTGTGCTCTCTCCCCAGAAGAAACGAAAGCAGCCTCACTTGGTTTACTTTCATCTGCTTATCAGTCCTAAGTAGTCTCAAAATCAATCTCATGGCCTTTATCTTTTGTTTTTCCTTCCTTGGGTTTTTCATTTATTTCCTCCCTTCTGCTTGCTTTGGGTTTACTCTACTCTTCTTGTTCTAGGTTCTTGAGGTGGGAGCTTAGATTATTGATTTGAGACTTTCTTTTCTAATGTATGCATTTAGTATTATAAATTCCCCTCTCAGTACTATGTAGCTGTATCCCACAAGTTTTGATATGTTGTATTTTCATTTTCATCTCATTCATTCAGCTTTTTAAGAAAATTTCCCTTGAGATTTTCTGTTTGATCTGTGGATTATTTAGAAGTGTGTTGTTTAGTTTCCAAGTGTTAGAAATCTTCCTGTTATCTTTCTGTTATTGATTTCTAGTTTGATTTCATTGTGATCAGAGAACACACTATGTGATTTCAATTTTTAAAAATTTGTTGAGGTTTCTTTTTCATGGCCCAGGACGTGGTCTATCTTGGTATATGTTACATGGGTGCTTGAAAAGAATGTATATTCTGCTACTGTTGGATAAAGTGTTCTATAAATATTTATTAGAGCCTGTTGGTCAGTGGTGTTGTTGAGTTCCTTTATATCCTTGCTGAATTTCTGTTTAGTTCTGTCAGTTGCTAAAAGAGGGGTTTTGAAGTTTCCAACATTAATTGTGGATTTGTCTGTTTCTCCTTTTAGTTCTATTGATTTTTGCTTCACATATTTTGTAGCTCTCTTGTTTGGTGCATATACATTTAGGATTGCTATGCCTTCATTATATAATTTTATTATTATATCCTGTCCCCCCTGTGTCTCTGGTAATTTTCTTTCTAATGTCTATTTTATCTGATATTAATATAGACATTTTTGCTTTCCTTTGATTAATATTTGCATGATACATCTTTTTCTATCCTTGCACTTTCAGCCTGCTTATATCATTATATTTGAAGTGATAAGACAATACATAGTTCAATCATGTTTTTTAATGTATTATGCCAGCTTCTGTCCTTAGATCACCTACTCTTACGTAGTTATTGATATGTTAGCGTTTAAGTTTATTATTTTTGTTTGTTTGTTTTCCATTTTTTAAAAAAATGAATTTATTTATTTATTTTTGGCTGCTTTGGGTCTTCGTTGCTGCCCGCGGGCTTTCTCTAGTTGTGGTGAGCGGGGGCTACTCTTCGTTGCGGTGCATGGGCTTCTCATTGTGGTGGCTTCTCCTGTTGTGGAGCACGGGCTCTAGACACGCGGGCTTCAGTTGTTGTGGCACGTGGGCTCAGTAGTTGTGGCTTGTGAGCTCTAGAGCACAGGCCCAGTAGTTGTGGTGCACAGGCTTAGTTGCTCTGTGGCATGTGGGATCTTCCTGGACCAGGGCTCAAACCTGTCCCCTGCATTGGCAGGTGGATTCTTAACCACTGTGCCACCAGGGAAGCCCTTGTTTTCCATTTTTCATTTCTGTTTTCTTTTTCCTGCCCTCCTGTGGGTTACTTGAACATTTTTTTAATTCCATTTTGATTTGTCAAGTTTTTTTTAATAAATTTATTTATTTTATTTATTTTATTTTTGGCTGCGTTGGGTCTTTGTTGCCGCGCGCAGGCTTTCTCTAGTTGTGGCGAGTGGGGGCTACTCTTCGTTGCGGTGCGCGAACTTCTCATTGCGGTGGCTTCTCTTGTTGCGGAGCACGGGCTCTAGGCACATGGGCTTCAGTAGTTGCGGCTCGTGGGTTAGTTGCTCCGCGGCACATGGGATCTTCCTGGACCAGGCATTGAACCCATGTTCCCTGCATTGGCAGGTGGATTCTTAACCACTGTGCTACCAGGGAAGCCCCTCTATAGTGTTTTTGAGTAAATCTTTCTGCATAGCTTTATTAGTGGATACTCTAGTTATTACGTAAGTTATCACAGGCTACTGGTGGTGTTACTTTAACAGTTTGAGTGGAGTGTAGAAACTTTTCCTTCTTTTACGCCCCTTTATCCTCTCCCATTTATAATATAATTGTCTTAAATATTTTCTCTAAGTATATTAGAAGCACAACAGTGTTTAATTTTTGCTTAACTGTCAAACATAATTTAGAAAACTTAAGAGAGAAGGAAAGCATATTGAATTCACCGTATTTTTACTTACTCTGTTCTTTCATCCTTTGTTATGTTCCAGGGTTCCTTCTTTTATCATTTCCTTTCTGTGTGGAGGACTCCTTTAGCCATTCTTTTAGTGTCGGTCTGCTGGCAACAGATTCTCTTAGTTTTCCTTGATTAAGAATGTTTTGGTTTCTCCTTTGGCCCTGGAGAATTTTTGTTTTGCAGGTTATGGGATTCTGGTTTGATATTGTTACCAGACCAAACTTGGGTCCACTCACCTGTGCGCAGTAAATCCAATTCTACTGACAATAGGTTGTTGTGAAGGAAAGTACAGCAGTTATTGCAGGGTGCCAAGCAGGTAGTCCCGGACAGCTAATGCTGGGGAAAAAAAAACCCCGAACTCCCCGAACGATTTCAGCAAAGCATTTTTAAAAGCAAGGGCGCCCCCCTCCAAATCCCCCCCCCACACACACAGGGTATGTGATCAGCTTGTGCACAATTCTCTGATTGGTTGATGGTGGGATAACAGGGCAGAATAATAGGAATTAACATTATCAATCCTTCGGCGCCAGTAGGTCTGGGGGCCTTTGTGCTCATGATCATCAAGTAATTAATTTCTTCCATTGGTGGTTTTAGCATCTGTAAAACAACTCAGGAAGTGTGCATCAGATACTATTATCTAGGTACTTCAGAGAGGAGGTACAGCAGAGGATATGGGGGAGGGGTCTGTCCTGAAAAGTCCCCATGGTGTCCTGCTCGGTTACAATTTTTCTTTTTTTTCAACACTTCTTTCCTCTGGCCTCATGGTTTCTGATGAAAAATCTGCTGTCATTTGAAATGGTTTTATCCCCCATTTTTTTTTTAACATTGTCAATACTTTTTTATATGAGATCAGGTCCATTTCATCTTAAACTTAGAAACTTCTGCCGTAAAATTGTCTCAACTCTGCATTTAAGAGCAGTTTTTTAAACATTGTATCTCATGGGAAAATAGTACATATCACAGAAAACTTCCTACTTTGCTGTTTTCTCTAATTTCTCTTGAGCACCATGCAAAGTTATTTCATGTTATATGAGAATCATTTCTCCTCTTACGATAATATTCCTCTTCTCTACTTAGATTCCCTTATCATTTGCGGTTTTGAGGCCACCTCTTGTACTCACTGAGCCCCTTAATCCCCTATAATCTCACCACTCAGGGAAGAAGTGGGGCTTCTGAGGAATGGGATATTTATTGGGAAGGTTCACTTATTTAGGTTCGGAGAGGTGTCATTTTTTTCTCTGACGGCTTTCATGATATTTTTCCTTTGTCTTTAATTTTTACAGGTTTAATTATGTCTTTTGGCATGGATTTCTTTGAGTTTTTCCTGTTTGGGGTTTTCTCAGCTTAAATCTGTAGGTTTATGCCTCCTGCCAAATTTGGGAAGTTTTCATCCATTATTTCTCTTTAAGTACTTTTCAGCCCCACCACGTTTCTCCTCTCCTTCCAGGACTCTGATCTTATTATAGTCTCACAGGTCCCTGAGGCTCTGTTTTTTTCTTTTTTCTTTTTCTTTTCTTTCCTTATTTTAGTTTATTTTCTCTCTGTTGTTCAGATTAGGTCATTATTGTTTTGCCTTCCATTTCACTGATTCTTTCCACTGTCTCCTCCATTCTGCTCTTGAGCCCAACTATAATACTAGGCTTTTTATTTCATTCATTCTATTTTTCAGTAATTTATTTTTCTAAAATTTCCACTCAGCCTTTGCTTGAGTGGGTGGGAGTGGTGAGACAGAACTTTTCTGAGGTGTCAGGCTGAAGTAGAGTGGTTATCATCTTTCCTGATCCTTCACTAAAGAGAGCAGGCTTTTGTTAGGCTTTTATTGGTCTGTACCCATTGGCATTTCCAGGTTGTACTTCTGCTCTAAGGTTTGGATACATGAGGCAAAAGAAAACCCAGGGAACTCACTGCTGTGTCATTCCTCAGGTCCTGAGGTACCTAGCTTGTCTGCCTTCTCCTTCCCACCTTCCAGAATCTTCTTTTTGTTTGTTTCTTTTGTTTTTTTGGGATTTTTCTTTGGTTTCTTTTGGCCTTGCCATGTGGCATGCGGGATCTTAGTTCTCCGAGCAGGGATTGAACCCGTGCTTCCTGCAGTGGAAGCCTGGAGTCTTAACCGCTGGACCGCCAGGGAAGTCTCTGTATGTTTTATATATAGCATCCTGGATTTTTACTTGTACTTAGCAGAAGGCATAGGGAAAAGCACATGTACTCCATCTTACCACAGGAAACGTAACTTTTAATGGCTATATAATCTTCCATCTTGTGAATATACCCAAATATTTAGGTTAAATGAATTCCTTTCAAATGTGAAGCCTTACAGTGGATTAAATCAATTTTACAAGTGTAGAATATTGTCAGTGAAAAAGGAATGGAGGCTCTAGGTGACCAAAGTTTGACGTAGATTCTAACTACCAGAAATGCTAACATAAATCTTAGATTACACCAAAGTCATGTAAGTGGAAAGTTAGAAGATGCCTGAGAATTATGTGGTCCAGACTTCTGTCATTGCAGGATTTCTTTCTGTAGCATCCCTGATTGATGGCCATCATTCATTCACCAGATAACAGTATGCCAGTTTCTATGCTGCACACTGAAAATACACAGCCCCAGTTTTCATGACACATAATTATGTCAGAGAAGACACATGGTAAACAAAGGACAGAATGCTTGGGAGCATTTAATACCCACATCTAGCTTATCTGGAAGGTCAGGAAATCCTGTTGAAGGAAGCAACATTTAAACTGAGTCTTGATGGAGAAGTAAGAATTATGTAGGTTGGTGGGAATCCAGGGACCGTATAATACACAGGACAGTTTTGAGTGGTGCAGACTGTTAAGTTTGGAGAATGAGTATGTCTAATGATAGGGTCTCACTACTTCATGAGTTAATCTTTTACAGAGTTAAAAACTGTACATTAACAACTTCTCTGTTATGAAGGCTGCCTTCCTTTGAATTTGCTACTGATTCTGGCCTTGTTTTTGAGGCAACATAGCCTGAGTCTGTGCTTCTATAAGAGAACCTTCCTAATATTTGTTAATCTGCACCTTTCCAGGTAAAACATTTTTTCTTCCTGCCACAGCTAGACCAGTCAGCATCCTGTGTGGATAACCTCTAGGTAGCTGATAGGGAGCTGAGAACTGAACACAACATTCCAGATATTGTCTAACTAGTGAAAAAGCCTGAGCGTTCTGTTACTTCTATCATTAGACACTAGACGCTTATTAATGCAGCCCAAAATTGCAATAGCTACTTTTTTAGCAGCTCACAAAAATAGAAGTATAATTAATAGAAGCACCTTGAAATCACCACTTCTGAAGTACCTTTTCTCCAAAATAGCCTTGATCTCTCCTTTTTGGTCAAGTATTTGCTGTCTGTAGCTCAAACCCTCCTATTTGACGAGACCAAAGCCATCACCTTCTTTCTAAGCCCTAAACTGACCAAAGTACGCCTTTGCCCAGCACACACCTAGTGAAGCATCCACAGTCATTCTCAAGGCGTCTGGCTTCCTCAAATCCTTAGCGTCTGTCCTCCATTGACGCTTCCATTGTCACCAGTCCGTGTGACAGTTTTACCCAAAGGGCCTGCTGAGAAAAGACAGTCTGCTTAGTGTGTCAGATAGCAATCTCGGAGGAAAGTGTCAGAGAGGGGACTCCCAAGAGAATGATGGCCTGTATTTTACCACGAGTCTTGCTTCCACTCGTGCACACAGCTGAATTCTGGGGTTTATTGGGATGAGTTAGTGGGTCTATTAAAACTTTCTGAGGCCTGAGTGATATTAAACTAACAGCTCTCTCTAACCTACAAGCTAGAAAGTTTGCCATCTCTGCTTTAAAATTAAATAATTCCAGTTCCCTTAGCATCCTATTTAATTAAACTTCAGATGCGGCAAGTCTGCCAGGACTACAGTAGAAAGCTGTTTGGGGAGGTAAGAATAATGGAACTCTAGGGACCACTGAGGCATCAGCTTTGACCTTTCCATTTTACAGAAACTAAGGCTTGAGGTAATAAAGTCACTTACTCAAGATGACAGCTAGTTGCTGAACCCAAACTTGAACTTGAGTCCCTTGAAAGAGAAATCCATTGAGCTCATTTAATTCTCTTTCTACACACAAATCTCCCTCTGAACAGCATGATCTGATTTTGGAATTCTTTTCCCTTTTGGCCTCTACTTTTGTTCTCTACTATAGCACATTCAGCCATTTGATTATACAAATACTTATACCTGCTAGGCCCAGGGGGTGACACAAAGATATGTTCCTTCATGTCGCTTACAGTCTAGTGGGGAAGACAGCTGGATATGCTACTAACTATGAAACTAGACAGGAAGTGACATGAGTGCTATTAGAAGTACAGAATGCTGTGGTATTCCAAGGGACATAGAGATTGCATTCTGTTTTGCAGGTGGAGGGGATTAGATGGTGAGAAAGGGGGAAGAAGAAGCTACATGAAAGATACAGCATTATAGCTAGATCTTAGAAAATGAAAGATGAAGAGGTATCCATTTCCAGGTGGAGTTAGGAAGGCATAGGACAGGTTTGGGGAATGAGAGATTATCCAGTTTGAAGTACAGGGAACAGGAGGGGGATCAAGCTGGGAAGTTGGTGGAGGACTGATCAGATGCTGTTAATATCAATTAAAAGAGTTTGAACTTTGGAGGGTGGGCAGTAGGGAAACAATGAAGAATTTTTGAGCCGGGGCTTTAAAAAGATACATATGCACAATATATAACGTTGCTAGGGAGATTGCTTAGAAGACTCTTGCAGTTGTGCAGTCAAGAGATAATGTTGGCAATGAAAATGGAAAGGAAGTGACAGTGCAAGAAGCATGGCAGAGGCGGCTTCTACAGAACTGTTTGAATCTGCTGGGCAAAGAAGAGCAGCAGAGGCTAACACCAGGCTTTCAACCTGAGTGGCTCAGTGAGGGGTGTGCTGCTTTCATCACTAGAAGTTCAAGAGAAGGAAAAGTTTAGGAAGGAATGAATTGGAGGGTTTCCTGTTGTGCAGATGGAATCTGAGTTTCCAACAGGACATTCAGCTGGAAGTCTAGAGCTCACTGGAAATGTGGGTCTAGAAGTGCTGATGAAAGGACTCAGCTTGGAGGTTCTCACAGTTGAAACCGTGCAAGTGGTTGATTTTGCTGAGTTGGGAGGAAGGATAACAAAGAAGGGATGAGGGCCCAGGACAGGGTTTGGAATTGTGGCGGCAGACTGGAGTGGGAGCAATGGAGAGAAGAGGAGTCGGTGGAAGAGAGATCAGTTAAGAACCGGGAGAATGTGGTGTGTGGGAGCCCAGGCAGCAGGAGTTTCTAGACAGAAGGGAAAACTCTATTTAACTCCTGCAGGAGGGCTAAGGGCCATGAGTACTGAGGGTAGAAGACACCTTCCTGGTCTTCATCACATTAAATTCGTTCCAATTTTGTTGGTTTTGATTTTAGGGGATAGCTTTCTATGTTTATATAAATTAAGAGGCACTTACATTCTTGGTCCAGGTGTCTCTCTATGCTCAGAAACCTATAGACACTTCATGCCAGATGTGTGAGAGATGTCTTCATTCTTACTACATATCCAGCGTGAGTCTGAGTACTTACTGGAATTTCCTGGAAAGAACATATAATACATGGCCTCTGTCAGGATTCTTACTGGAATTTTGGCCTGAAAACCCCAGTCTGTCAGTGTTGTTCCTTATCCACCTAACCTGTCATGTTAGCGCCTCTACCACTTTATTGCGCCCTGTACTTCATGTTGCCTCTTCCCAGAATTGAAGATATGCCCCAGAGGTCAGTTGCCTTTTTTTTTTTTTAAGGAACATTTATTTATTTATTTATTTATTTATTTATTTTTGGCTGCATTGGGTCTTAGTTGCTGTGCGCGGGCTTTCTCTAGTTGCGGCAAGCGGGGGCTACTCTTCGTTGCAGTGCACGGGCTTCTCATTGTGGTGGCTTCTCTTGTTGTGGAGTACAGGCTCTGGGCACGCGCGCTTCAGTTGTGGCATGTGGGCTGTAGAAACACAGGCTCAGTAGTTGTGGCACACGGGCTTAGTTGCTCCACGGCATGTGGGATCTTCCCGGACTGGGGCTCGAACCCATGTCCCCTGCATTGGCAGGCGGATTCTTAACCACTGCACCACCAGGGAAGTCCTCAGTTGCCATTTTTAATAAGAACATCAAAGGAGGACAGTCAGAATGAATGCAAGGAAGGAAAGGAAAAGGTGCTGATACACATTGTTTTCCAGGCACTATTTAGGTGCTCTGCCTTCATTATCTCATTTAATCCTCATAATAACCCTGTGAAGTAAGTAGTGTTATCCCCATTTTACAGATGAGGAAACTGAGATGCAGAGAGGTTATGTGACTTGCCCAAGATCACACAACTAGTAAGTAAGTGTAAACCCAGATCTGACTCTAGAGCCCATGCTCTTTTCCACTGCATCACACAGACACTCAGAGTTTGGAGTTCTAGAGTTGCTATAGAGACCCAAGAGTCATAGGGAGGTTCTGCCTAGCATCCTGGGGGAAGCCAGCTTTGGGATGTGATATATAAATGGCTGTACCTACTGCTGATACTTGTGTCATTTTTTGCCTTAAGTTCTTTTTAATTATTCATTCACCTTCCTAGTTCTCCTTAAGAAGAATGCTATATAATTTGTGTTCTTCTAAAGGCCTACTAACAACAATGAAAGATCGATCGCCTCTGGGGAGTGGAACTGGAGGTGAGGAGGGTCGGGGCAGGAGGCCGTCAGTTCCATCACAAGTCCTTCTATACTAAGAGACTTTTAAAATTGATTTTATAAAAAACCCTCCAAAGGCCAGTAGTAACAATTAGAAAACACTATGGATACATAAAAGAACACACTTTGCTAAGTCAATGACTGTGAGATATACTTTTATAAAATCATAATACCTACATTTTGTGCACCTGTTCTTTTATGTAAAGGTTCGTAATGAGTTTTACAAGGACACACAGGGTGTGATACTGGTCTATGATGTTGGGCAGAAAGATTCCTTTGATGCCCTTGATGCATGGCTGGCAGAAATGAAGCAAGATCTTGGACCTCATGGAAACATGGAAAATATTGTATTTGCAGTGTGTGCCAACAAGGTAACTGCTTTGGAAATGGTATGCTTAACTTTCTAGGTTCATTATGGGAAGAGTGTGGCTGAGTTTTTGGGAATAAATAAAAAGAAAAATATTCTGCAATCTGTAATACAGGAATCAACAGCTTTTCAAAACAAAGGTCCCTAAAACAAAAATAATTAAAAAATAAAGCCTGGCATATCAGGATTTTTATCCTTTTTTTTTCACTGGTGCCATACTTGGGGAGGATATTGGTGACTGAGCAGGAGAGGTGGAGCCTAATAATAACACTCTGACCTGATTGGAGTAGGGGAAGCAATTAGGTGAAATGTGGACTGTGGAAAGGTGTGAAGGGCAGACCATGGCCCTCAGGCGTGGCAGATGTGATGAAGCCAGCTTTCACAGAGGTGAGCAGCAGCAGTGTTCTCAAAGGAGAATGCTGGTATCAGGCACTTGTGGTTTCGCCACAGAAAATCAGTCCACATTCAATATAAGTAATTTTTTAATCTTCTTTGTTCCTGATAATTTTATATGCTAGTGCTGGGGTTCACTTAAGAAGAGTTTTTGCCTCAGCAGAGGATTGACAGAGACCTACTGGGCCTATTCTAGTGGGACAAGGTTGGAATCTTCTCTCCCCCTGCCCCCAACTTTTAATTTCAGATCGACTGTGCTAAGCACCGCTGTGTTGATGAAAGTGAAGGACGTCTTTGGGCTGAAAGCAAAGGGTTCCTGTACTTCGAAACTTCGGCTCAAACTGGAGAAGGAATCAGTGAGATGTTCCAGGTAACCTGGCATTTTATTGTTCTAGAGTTTGTGTCAAGGCTGACCATACCAAATTTTAGTGTAAATTATGAGAAGCAAAACAGTAATAGGAATTTCTCATTAGAATAAGCTTTCTTTTCCGAAGCTAGTAAGAAAGAAAGAATGGGAGAGAGAAGGAGAGAATGAGTGTGTGTGTATGTCTGATATTTGTCTGCTGTCTGTTTTAAACCAGATCTACCTGCTCATCAGAATTACTTGGGGAAATTCTTCAAAATACAAATTGCTGGGCTCCAGACCTACCAGAAGCTTAATGTTTTGATGGAGCTGAGGAACCTGTATTTTGAAAAATCTCTGTAGGTGATCCTGATGATCATCAAGTTTAACAACACTTATTATATACTTACTTAAATGGGACAAATATTTTCTTTAAAACCACCTTTGGTTACATGTGTATGCATAATCAAATGAAGGCACTACTTTGGCAAAATTGCCTTGCCATAGCTAATATAATCCTATATCGTAGCCCCTGCGGGTACAGTTAGAGACCAGGAGACTCGTTGCAGAATCCAGCCAGTCATACGTAAAAGTTCGGTCTCACCGATCACGTAGGCAATAGAAGGATGGACTAACATGGCAACCTGAATAGATGGTCATTTTTTAGGATTTAATAATCTAGAATAATTTTAAGGGGGGAGACTACCTAAACAACAGATTATAGTCAACTCCTTTTTAAAAAAAATTTTTTTTTCTTTTTAAAAAAGGAATTAATTTTTGGCTGCTTTGGGTCTTTGTTGCTACGTGCGGGCTTTCTGTAGTTGTGGTGAGCGGGGACTACTCTTTGAGGTGCTTGGGCTTCTTATTGCGGTAGCTTCTCTTGTGGAGCACGGGCTCTAGGCATGCGGGCTTCAGTAGTTGTGGCTTGTGGGCTCTAGAGCGCAGGCTCAGTAGTAGCACAGGGGCTTAGTTGCTTCATGGCATGTGGGATCTTCCCGGACCAGGGCTCAAACCCATGTCCCCTGCATTGGCAGGCAGATTCTTTTTTTTTTTTAGGTAAGAAGTGGATTTTATTTATTTATTTATTTTTGGACTGCGTTGGGCCTTCATTGCTGTGCGCAGGCTTTCTCTAGTTGTAGCAAGTGGGGATTACTCTTCGTTGCGGTGCGCAGGCTTCTCACTGTGGTGGCTTCTCTTGTTGCAGAGCATGGGCTCTAGGTGTGCAGGCTTCAGTAGTTGCAGCACACGGGTTCAGTAGTTGTGGCACGCGGGCCCTAGAGCACATGGGCTTCAGTAGTTGCTGCACGTGGGCTCAGTCGTTGCGGCTCGCGGGCTCTAGGGCGTGCGGGCTTCAGTAGTTGTGGCTTGCAGGTTCTAGAGTGCAGTCTCAGTAGTTGTGGCGCACAGGCTTAGTTGCTCCACAGCATGTGGGATATTCCCGCACTAGGGATTGAACCCATGTCCCCTGCATTGGCAGGCATATTCTTAACCACTGCGCCACCAGGGAAGTCCTAAAGTAGATTTATTTAGAGAGAAGCACTCTCCACAGACAGAGTGTGGGCCATCTCAGAAGGTGAGAGCGACCTTGGGAGAAACACACTTCACAGACAGAGTGTGGGCCATCTCAGAAGGTGAGAAAGGCTGGCAGGCAGATTCTTAACCACTATGCCACCAGGGAAGTTCAGTCAACTCTTAATTATAGATACATTTGAAAGTAAGTGGTGTCATGAATAATGCATTTTTTCTTATGAATATATCTGATATTTTGGGAATTTTTAGCATTTCAAATAATGTAGCTATACTATAAAGAGTTGTTCTTAATTATCAAGTGGGATTTTATTTAATCTTTTGTGCTGAATTTCCTTCTAACAAGATGTCACCCCTTCTACTAGAAGACAGGTTTTATCCTTGGCTGACAGGCTGAATTGGGCATCAGTAGCGTCTATTTCAAGACCAAATAAGTTGATATTGGTTTGCCACTTTTCTATTCTTTTGAATACATAGACTATATAGGTACATAGTTTGTACCTATATGTATGCAATCATGATACTTAACCATTTAAATTAAATTAACCAATTAAACTTCTGGAGAAGTTTACATGCTTCACTCATATGAGACTCTTAACAATGTGTGGCAGGTATCATTCTCATTTCAGATATGAGGACATCAAAGAGTAGTAGTGATTTGTCCAAGAAGTATAAATAACTGTTAGAGATTAACTTTCTTTCAGCACTTTGAAGACACTGGTTCATTCTCTTCTGGCCTCTGTTGTGTCCCATGAGATGTTAGCACCTGTTCTTACTCTTATTCCTTTATATATAATGTGTCCTTTTTTTCCTCCAGCTACTTTCAAGAATTTATCTTTGATTTTCAGCAGTTGTGCTATGTGCCTAGGTGTGGTTCTCGTTATATTTATCTTACTTGGGGTTTGTTGATTTTCTTGGATTGGTAAGCAGGTGTTTTTCATCAAATATGGGAATTTTTTTTTAAACCGTTATTTCTTCCAATTTTTTTTGGCCCTATTTTCACTCTCTTTTCCTTCTGGGACTCCAATTATGTATATATTAGACCATTTTGTTTTTTCCCATAGTCCTTGAGACTGTTTATTTTTCTTCCATTTTCTTCTGTTTTTCAGATTGCATAGTCTCTATTGATCTGATTTCAATCTGCTGTTAAATCTACCAAGTGAAGTTTTCAATTCACTACTTTTCAGTTGTAGAATTTGCATTTTGTTCTTTTGTGTAGTTCCAGTTCTTTGCTGAGATTCTCTATTTACTCATTTTGAACATATTTTTCTTTATCTCTTTGAAATAGTTATAATAGCAGCTTTACAGTCTTTGTCCAATATCTGAACCATCTTGGGTTCAGTTTCTATGGACTGCTTTTTTCTTGACTATGGATCACATTTTTGTTTCTTTGTATGAGTAGTGATTTTTGATTTAACACCAGACATTGTAGACAATACATTATAGAGACTCTAGATTTGTTTATTTGCCTCAGAAGAATGTTGGTTTTGTTTCAGCAGGCAGTTCAGTTATTGGCAGATTACATTGAACTTGTATAGGCTTGACTTTTTGCTTTAATAGCAAGGATCTGAAGGAAACCCAAAGTGTTTCCCAAGCCCTTCTAATTTGGCAGGATTCAGCCTGCAAATTCTGTCCCCCTTGCAGATCTTGTCGTTCTTGGTTTTAGGTTTTGTTAGAATGAATCTAACTCGTAAGGCAAAGCCTTTCTGTGGTGTCTCAGCTAGATGCTAGGGGTATTAATGAGATGTTAAGGCAGTCTCTCTCCTCTAACAAGGCCAAATTCTGGTGTCCCCAGGATGGCTCTTCCCCTTAGTAGTCAGTTCCCACCACTAGCCAGTTCTGTTCTCAACCCCTTAGTAGCTATTATCTGATAAGCCTCAGGTGATCTCATCCTATGTATTTACAGCCTAGCCCTCAGCTACAAACTAGTAGGGAACCCTCACATGGACTTCTGGGGCCCAACTCTGCACAATTCCCTCCTATCCAAGGCCCTGCTCCACAGATTCTAGCCACTTCAGCATCCTCAAGCTCTCACCTCTACCTCCTTAGCTCAATGGGACTTTGTGTCTGCTCAGACTCTGGCTTTCCGTGACAGGGTCAGGAAATGGACTCCAGGTAGAAGACCAAGGAGCAGTCTTGCCCTTGCTGTTGTCCACTACCTGAAAAGAGTTACCTCATATATTTGTTCACTTTTATAGTAGTTTATGGCAGGAGGTTCAGTCCAGTACCCATTACTCCAACATGGCTGGCACTCAGACAAGGAATTTGAACAGACTTTTGACTTCAGTTCTAGCATTCTCTATATCACCACAGCTAGCCTTCTGTAACATTATGTGTTATGAGTAAATGCTTGTGCCCTCAGAAATCTGTGAGTGTTTATATTTTAGGTTAACCTACAGACTAGAAGAAAACCTTATTGAACTATGAAGCAAACATTTGTGAACTATGATCCCTTTTAGGTTGCTTTTATTTTTTTAGATTAATCTTGGGTAGAACTAATGGATAGTCTTTAAAAAAAGGGTAACAGTATAATAAACTATTCTGTAAGTACTTAGAAGTAGTGCATTCCTGCTGGTTCAATTTAATCAATACTTTCTTTGTTTCCTATATATTTAATAGACACTTTATGTCAGGAAGGAACTTGGTTTTATCTTACGCTGTTAACACAGAGCAGTATTAAGATAGACTAAAACTAAGTTAACACTTCTCTTGTCTTGGTATCTAACGGCTTTTCCTTTGACACCCCTTTTCACATGTCAAGGCTTCCTGTTTAGGTTGCCAAATTGATTAGCTAATACTGGAGATAAGAAAGAGGAGTCAAAGAGAAGGATAAAAGTTTTAGATGATAATAGGCACTATAGAAATATCTGGAAAAAAAAGAGGAAGAGATTAAAAAAGAAATGGAGGGATGAGGAGATAAGTCAATTTAAAAGCAGCCATAGTGTATTAAATTAGTCTTTTGAGTGAAGTTATTCAACAACAATAATAGTGCATAGAGCATGAAATATGAGCAGGATCAAAAATAGTTTTCACTTTGAAAAACATTATAAAAATAGGAAAAGAATATGAACAGTTTACAGAACAAGAAAAGACTGATAAGCAAATGAAAAGATACTCAATTGCACGTATAATTAAAGAAATGAAATAAAAACTGTGAGATACACATCAGCTTGGCAAAAGTGAAGATGTATGATAATGCCCAGTGTTGACAAGGGTGTGGGGAAATAGGCACTCCCATACACAGTGATGGGAGTATAAACTGGTATAACCTTTTTGTATGAAAGTTGTGAAAATCAAAAAGTAAAATGCACATACACTTTTATTCAGTAGTTATTCTTTTAGGAATTTATCCCAAAGCAGTATTCCCACAAGTGTGCAGAGATATATACACATAAAAAAATATTCACTAAAGCACTGTTTATGAAAAAACCTAGAAACAATTGACCTGTCCAAGAATAGGGAGTTGGTTAAATAAATTATGGTATAGTCACACAGTAGAATACTGAACCATCATTTAAAAGGAGGAATTGGGGAGGGAAGGGTAAGCTGGGACGAGGTGAGAGAGTGGCATGGACATATATACACTACCAAAGGTAAAATAGATAGCTAGTGGGAGGCAGCCGCATAGCACAGGGATATCAGCTCGGTGCTTGGTGACCACCTAGAGGGGTGGGACAGGGAGAGTGGAAGGGAGACGCAAGAGGGAGGGGATATGGGGATATATGTATACGTATGGCTGATTCACTTTATTATACAGCAGAAACTAACACACCATTGTAAAGCAATTGTACTCCAATAAAGATGTAAAAGAAAAAACCTAAACGAAAGAAGGAAGAAAGTGTCTATATGCAGCTAGAGAAAGGTTCCAAGATTTATTATTATGTGAAAAAAAAATGCAGGGTGCTAAGCAGTGTGTTTAGTCTGCTCTCTTTTATGTAAATGCTTAGGGTTTGGATGTGTGTATGGACTGGGTACTGATAGAAAATTATTCTGGAAGGATACTGAAATAATATATTAATAATGGTTACCTCAAGGAGAGGAACTTGAGGGGTAGGGAGACAGTTTTCATTTTACACTTTTTCCTACTATTTGAATTTTTCTAACAATATTCATGTACTAGTTTTTAATTTCAAGTGTGGTTATCTGAGAGTAGGATTATAAGCCATTGAAATTTTATTCCTTATCCTTACTGTGTGCTTAAATATATATATATACACATATATGTATGTATAGTATGAAAGAAAAACATCTTCCAAAGTACGTTTGCTTTATTGTGAATTTTAAGTTACTGGACTATATTAAAATTCTTTAAGTTGATGGTTAGAAGGAATTCCTATTTTCTCAAAATCAGTTCTCCTCTGGGATGTGTTTTCTTTTTGCAGACCTTTTATGTATCCATAGTTGATTTATGTGAAAACGGCGGGAAACGTCCTATCACAAATAGCAGTGCTAGTTTCACCAAAGAACAAGCAGACAGCATTCGCAGAATTCGAAATAGTAAAGATAGTTGGGACATGTTGGGAGTCAAACCTGGGGCCTCAAGGTAAGCAGTGCTCTCAGATATTAGTGCTGCCTTCTGTTATAGAAAAAGACTCAATCATCAGAATTATAGTGCGATATCATCTTGTAATTGGCTAGAAATATGAAGATGTGTGGAAATATCTTAGATTACTTAATAATGCTCCTTCACTGAATTAAGTGAATACCAAAGGGAGAAAACAGAGGGCACAACTGCTTACTGTGGGAACTATGTGGTTTGTATATTATATAAGTACCTTCTGAAATTATGTGCTCTGCTTTTGTTGACTAAGAGCCTTGAAGCTAATGTAACCTCAAAAGAAAAAAAAAAAGAATTCTTAAATCATAGAATTTTAGAGAAGGAAAGAGTGTTAGCAATCAACCTGTCCAAACATTTCATTTCATAGGTGGGAAAACTGGGACTCATTGAGACTAAAAACAGAGTCAAGGACCTCAGGAGTTAGTGGTAGAATTGGTTCTTGACCCTGAGCACTGTGTGTCTGCCTGTCTCTGTCTCTTTCTATCTCTGTCAAAAATCCTGCTAGTTCCTCGTCTGTGTGTGTTGATATTAAATTATTTTATTTTATCCAAAATAATTATTTGGGGGCTTCCCTGGTGGCGCAGTGGTTGAGAGTCCGCCTGCCGATGCAGGGGACACGGGTTCATGCCCCGGTCCGGGAAGATCCCACATGCCGCGGAGCGGCTAGGCCCGTGAGCCATGGCCGCTGAGCCTGCGCGTCCGGAGCCTGTGCTCCGCAACGGGAGAGGCCACAACAGTGAGAGGGCTGTGTAAAAAAACAAAAACCAAAATAATTATTTGGGAGAAAAGGCAATACAATCACTACTCTTTGTGAAAGAATAAATCATTATCCAGCATGATTATATAACTTTTCCCCCCAGTTTTATTGAAATATAAATGATATACAGTACTGTATGAGTTTAAGGTGTACAGCATAATGATTTGACTTACATATATTGTGAAATGACGACCACAGTAAGTTTAATTACCATCTACCATCTCATATCGATACCAAAAAAAATGTTTTTTCCTTGTGATTAGAACTCTTGGAATCTACTCTCTTAACAACTTTCAATTGTTATATAACTTTTAATGCTATAATAATACTGTTACTATACGTATTATTAGAGTTCTCAGACCTTTTTATTTTGCACTGTAGCTTTCCTCCCCTTTCTACTTTTTCACCTTGATTCCCACAAAAGAAAAAGTAGCTCTTGAAATCGCCTTGTCAGCGTCAACAGCATTAAGTATCTCCTCCATTTTGGTCTCATAGCATACCTTTGAGTCCAGAAGGAAAGAGGGAACGGGAAAAGGGAGACAGTTATTGGTCTCCCTGGACTTGCCAGGCATTACTGAGGAGCTGTTAAACACCTGAAGGAATTCAGATGACCTCATAGCACAAAATTAATTGGTGGCTTTTAAATGTTCTTTTAGACTTCCACAGTCACATCCTAAATTCTTCCATTTCATCTCCAAGGGATATTGGCTCTATAACTAAGAAACTATTACTTACTAATTAACTTAGAACAATAATCATTAGGGAAAAAGAAACTTTTGGTTTCTTACTTATTCATTGTGGTTAACTGGAATCTCCCAAAATTTACAGGGCCTCCATAATTTCCATATCCTTAACCAATATAACATGTTCTTTTCTTACCTTTGTTCCTCTAGGTCTATCAAACTAATTTGTATGGCATGAGCACGTTTGGGCAAAACCTAAAAACATTTATTTTATTTTATCCTTTAAATACACCTTTATTTTATTTTTTGGCCGTGCCGTGCGGCATGCGAGATCTTAGTTCCCCGACCAGGGATCGAACCTGTGCCCCCTGCATTGGAAGCATGGAGTCTTAACCACTAGACCACCAGGGAATTCCGTAAAAACATTTTTTTTAAGTTATAGAGAGTTTTAATGTTTGTTCAGTGCTATGTTTACTATTCTTGAACTTTAAGAAAAATCTTCTTCAGTAGAATTAATATATTTTTTACACACCTGACTCAATATTGTTTCTCTAAAATTTTCCTTGAAAGTTTCTCCTGCTATCCAGAATTCTTGAAAGGTATCAGGCCTAACCACTAACCCCATATGGACATGTTTCCTCGGGAAGCAGAGTGGCTAGAGGGGCCCAACCCAAGACTCACTCATGGGAAAGAGAGAGGATGCTGTTACTGCCTCAAGGACAGAGAGTCTTAGGGAGAATGTGATTCTTATTAGCTAATATCGAAATTATCTATGTAGAAAAGCTACATGAGAGGTAAAACAAGAAAATTCAGAAGGACTCCTCTAAGATCAGAAAGCAGAAAAAGCCTTAGAACGTATGCCTATGACATGGACAGCTGTTAACATAGCCCTATGACCTCAGTCTCCCCAAGCTGACACGTAAGATATCACATATGCACAAATAATATGTAACATTCAAGTAGAAAAATATACAATGCAAAGTGAGTATACAAACAAACATGATCAGATATCACATCCAAGATATCAAAGACCATCTCCCTGATTTGGAGAGCCAGACTAGAAGTCCTTCTGATAAAGAATAAAGGAGATTTGGGGAAGCACCAAATCCAGGCTTATAAGTTAACAAGAACCTTGAATTACAAAAGGAATTCAAAAGGGAAGTGGGAAATAAAACTATCTGGTAGAGACAGAGCCAGACTCTGACCAGGGGAGTGGCTGGGCACTTGAAAGCCTCTCAGAGGCCTGACACCTGAGGATATGAAGAGCGGGGAGAATTGCAGGGCCAGGTGGTCTCCAGCCCCTACCCCAGCAGTCCCTGCTCCTTAGAGGTCTCTCCTGGGACTTCCTGGTCTTTGGTGAAACACTGATCGTACTGCTCCTTTCCTCTCTAGATAACGTTAAATTCTCTCTTGTTTCTTCTTTGGTCTCAGGGAGCTCACTGTAACTCTCAGGTACCCCTTTCCAGTGGCTCTTTCTTGGTCAGTGGTACCACCATCTTCCCCGAGGCCTTAGATTCCCCAGGACCCTGGAACTCATTTCAGCCCTTTTTCTCATGTCTTCTCCACCCCTATACCCAGCTCATCACCTGCTTCTGCCAGGACTTTGTTTCTGTTATCTCTTTTGCCTTCCCTTGTTGGCTTCCACAAACACCTTAATCTAAACCCTTGTATTCATGCTTGGGTTATTGTAACAACCTCCTACCTGTCTCCTAACTTCCAAAAACAGCTTTCCCAGCACCATTTTGTCATGAAACACCTACTGTTAAAAATCCAACTTTTTTGTTGTTTTGCCTTCAAGGCCCTTCACTTACTGACCCCTGCTCCCTGGCCAACTTTGTTTCTTGTTACTTCCCAGTGCAGTTTCCTCCTGGAACTGCATGCGGGCTCCCTTCCTGGCCTCTGCCGGTTCTCTCCCTGCTGCTCCGTATTCCCCACCACTGTGTCAATCCCTGAACCCAACCTTCTTCCAGAACCCTCCTCCAGGGGGCCTGCCCTGATGGCCCCTGTCCTCATTGCTTCCGTCCGCAAATGCCGAGTGCCTGTGAAGTGCCGAGTACTATTTTCATCTGATCATGTTTGTTTGTATACTCACTTGGCGTTGTGTATTTTTCTACTTGAATGTTACATATTATTTGTGCATTGTTTGTTTCCTAGTCCTTTAGTCCCGCGTTTGAGAAAGGGTAACATTTATTTGGGATATGCTTACTGTAAGAGATATTATGATATCCAAACAGCTAAAATGCAGTGGGTGGAGGGTGGGGGCTGACCTCGATACTGACATAGAGCTTTGCTTTTCCTCGTAGAGATGAAGTCAACAAAGCATATCGGAAACTTGCTGTGCTGCTTCACCCTGACAAGTGTGTAGCACCTGGTAGTGAAGATGCCTTCAAAGCCGTTGTGAATGCCCGAACAGCCCTCCTGAAAAACATCAAATAGAAAGTAGAAAAAAAAAGACAAGTGTGGGCCTCGAGTCCAAACAGACTTTCCCTAGAGGTAAAGTAGCCAACATGGGTTTTTCCTTCACAGAATCTTACAGCTCTTTTCACTCATGTGCTGTCATTTGTAAATCAGTAATTTGGGTGCCTGTTACCATGCCATAGACATTTTGCAGAGATGAAGTGAAGAGAACCAAGCGCCACTTATACACTACCGTTCATTTCCTACTTCTGAATGATATAAGAGATTTTTCTCATGAGTTTGTTAGCTCTGTCAGTGTAGCATCCCTTAGGCACTTTGCTCAGGAAAGTCCATGAGGTTTCTGGAAGGAGGATAGGAGGATCCTTTCACTTTTTCTTTTTAAAAACATTCATCATCAGAGAAGAAAACAAAAATGGAAGCAGACATAGCAGAATCCCCGAAAGTGTGGTGACCTCACAAGCAAGTTGCCCCTTTTACAGTGAGTTTCTTAGGTAGTATTATAAGCATCAATCTATAGTTAATGAACTCTTGGCAGCCCTTTGGAAGTGAAACGAGGTGATACAATTCTGAACTGAGCAGCCCTTTTGTGACGTTCACTCTGTTCCCCTTCTCCAGTCACCAGGGGGAGAGACCAGCCAGTCCTAAGAGAGCAAAGACAGTGACGGCGGCCGCAAGTTCTGGTACGCTGGCTGCTGCTAGTCCTGGCCCTGAATCTGAGGCCTCTCACTGGCCATGGAAGTGGGTGCTGGTAGCTCTAGGGAGCATCATCGCCTAGGAATCAGGAGTCAGACTCCAAGACAGTAGTGCCTGCAGGTCACACTAGATTGAGCACACATGCCTAGAGGGCACGGTCGGCCTGGCTCAGGCATGTTTGATGCCCTAGGAGAGCCTCCATGTGAGGCTTGTGCCTTCTTTGTTTCTACATCACGTTCTGCATCACAGCAGTTGGGAAAGGCAGGGGTGCCGGGCCTCCTCTTCACTTCCTCATCAGTGTTAGTTCCCTCTCTCTTCCCTCTTCTCTTCCTGTCCACATCTGCTGCCATTTCTCTTTTCTTGAATCCGTGCCTTCCGGCTCTTGACTCCTCCATCCTCCTGTGCAGCCTTCACCTGGGCCTGGTTGACCAGAGACAAGTATGGATCCTTTGGGTGGTGGACAGAGAGATCTTAAGGCCTGTGTGAGAAGAACCTCTGTTACTTTTGCCTGGGTTACAAATTTCTGATTAGTAATATTTTAAAGCTACAGATGATGAAAATTAATTTCACATGGAGAAATACATTCTCCTGCTGTAGTATCTTCCTCAGTATCCAAGGGATGGATGAAGAGCAAGTGTGAGGACCAGCCTTTCTTCCAGAGCTTACAGAGCCAGTGCCACTGCTTGGCTCGTCACACCATCACTCTCATGTTACTCAGATTTTTAGCTGTGACCAGGCTGCACTAATTGGGGCTTCAAAGTATATAAAACACTACTGTCTGTGAATTTTAAACAGCTATTCCATATTGGTCGCCAAGGAGCATTCACCTTACCCCGGAGAAGAAAAGCCGCTTCCGTTTAACTCAAGCCCACTGCAGCCTTCTGGGCTCTTCCCTGCTCCAGAGCAGCTTTGCTTCGTGTGGCTGCCCTTGCGCTGCACTGAGCTGGTCGTCAGGAAACCAGAGCATTGTCTTCTAGTATGAATTTTCATCTCGGTGATATTGAATGCTTTTTTTTTTTTCTATAAGTTGAGATACGAGTATGATTTCTTGTGGGGTTTAGCTCTGGGCCTGTAGAACTCCAGCCCAAATTTCTTCAGGGCCTAAATCTTGCTTAAGGCCTTCATCATGCCTAAAGTAATTAAACATAGATCTGTTCTTACAGCAGGACTTAGGAGGGTCATATTTATGAGGGACTGTGCATGGTGGTGTCAGCCCAAATTGACATGACAGGTCACTGAGTATGTGGCCCTGGGTAAAACCTGGTGCCAGTTTTCATCATTGTTATCAAACACTAGATTGGCCACCTTATTCAACTACATGGTGCAGGTGAGCAATTATAGCAGAGAGAGTTCTTTAGTGCTTCCATTCATATCCTTATATAATGAGTGACTTGTTGAAATTTAGCCTGATCTTGATTTGTAGGTCTTGAGACTCAGTTCCCAGCACCTTGATTATTAATGTTAAGGATGGCCATGTACTACTTCATTTATGTAAAAGAAAGTTAAGCTTCAGGGTCCTAGGATTTTTCTGATTTCCATAATCCTTGAGTAGAATATCAAGAAGTAATGAAGCCTGATCTGCAATGAAAAGTAACTTCATACAAAATTTTACAGACCTCTGTGCATTAATTTAAATTCTTGGTGCAAATATGTACTTTGCAGTTCAACCTTATTAAAATTCTTCAGCCAGTTAGGATTGCACAACACATCAGTGAGAGTAATAACTAGCAGAATAATTTCAATGGCTAAAAAATTTTTATAGAAAGTCATGTTTTTCGAAAAAGAATAAAAAGTTCGAACCGCTATTATTCAAGAAAAGCCATTTCTTCTGCATCTGAGTCACCAAAAATGAACACTTATAAAACTTGTTAGAAATACCTGCAGGCTTTTGAAATTAATTGTCCAACCTACCTAAGAACTTTAAAATATACCCTCCTTTTGTTCCTCTGTTCCTCTTTGCTGCCTCCTTTTGAATTGATATTCTCAACTGTCAACATTTCTTTTACTGCAGCACTGTCATTTTATTTCTTCACATAAATGTGTGCCCAGTAAAGTCCAGACTTGGGGGTGTTGTGGTGCTACCCAAGATAAATTGCTATAACTCTGTAGATGCAGTCTCATCTTTAAGGCTCACATTTACCTCAGGAAACTCACTCTAGTATAGTTTTTTTTGCAATGAATTCTCAACTGGTAAATATTTCTTTATACAGATAAACTAGTACATAATTCACTGTTCGCTAAATGAGCCACAGATAAGGCAGCTAAATTTCTGAAAGAAAGCCAGAGTAAGTGGGCAGCCCCTGTAAGCTCTGAATCAGTAATGAGGTAGCTGTTCCTCATAGAACAATGACAGAATCTCGAGGGGGAGGGAGGTATTTCGGTCTCAAGTTCGAAAGGGTAGGGCCGTGCGCACATTGACTTTGACAGGAACAGTGCCTGTCCTATAAGCAATTTCAGTGGGCCCTGGGAGGTCACTCCCTCTCCACTACACTCCATGTAGCTCACTCTGAGTCTGCCAGCGTTTTCGTAAAACTTTTGCAGAGGAATTTAGCCGTGAAATACAGCTAACCACCTTCCATTGCAAGTTTTGCAAAGTGAAGAGGGGTTCATATTTCTCATGATTGGTACTTAGCACAATTGTAAGAGACAGTTAATACTGTTTATACGTTGGTTTTTCCATTAAGCATTTCTAGAGAAGACGAAAGCTTAAACTTGCGGTGTGGGTAAGTTAGATTATGTCTGACAAGCAGTGCAGTAGGAAGCTGTGCAATAAAGGCCATGTTGGTGAAATGACTCGCTGGAAAGTTGTACAGTTTGGGTGAGCTTCCTGCATCAGTGGCCTGCAGGGTGGTCTACCCTTGGGCCGGGAATGCACAGTCTCTAAAGAAACCCTTTGCTCTTACGAAGTAATTGACATACTTGCTTTCTGTTGAACTAACGGGAAATGTTAAATCTAACAGCTGTTTATGTCTTGTATAGAGAGTGTCATATGTATTTAAGTTGTGTATTTTTATAAAGTAAAGGCAAATGCCAAACACCGGTCTGTGGGCTGCACTTATTTGTTGAGCTACTGGTCCTTAATGTAGAACATGCTAGTCTAGAAGCCAATCCAGTTCCTTACCAACTGAGATCATAGATAAGACATCTTGCTTTAGTTGCCAGTGGGTAAAGTGGAGGAAATTTTATTCACTGGTCCCTCAGGCTAACCTTAATTAAATTGTGATGAAAGTGTTTTGATCTCTTAAAGAAAGATACTAATATTATGTGTGCCTTTTTAATTCAAATGAAACTATTGTTATCTCATTTTAATAATGCAGATCTTGGCTGAATAACTTAATAATTCAGCTAACTAGTCCCTGGACGACAAGAATCCTTAAGTAACAGACTATTGTGAACCCAAATTTGAAAGTGAAAGCCTTGTAGGGCCAACCCACAGAAGGCGGTCTATCTCTGAAGACTTCAAACAAGAGCTTTAATTTTCATTACGAATGACATTCGTTATCACCTGAGAATGCCCACCACTCTTTTGGGGAACTGCTCTACCCTCTCCATACTGCTAACGTGTTCTAAAGGGGAGCTGCCAAATCCTCCTATGACCCGCCCTCCTCCCTGGTCACAGAGATTGACCCAAGAGATGGGAATGTCACCCAAGCTGAACCAATTGGCATCCCTCCCTGGGATCTTTCTAATTGGATCTAGGAAAGCAAACTTCTTCTCAGGAGAGGAAGATAGGAGGAGTCCTGCTGATGCTGGCAACCTTGATTCCAACCTCATAGAAAAAATTTGAGAGAATGAAACAGACATTCAGAAAGAGTCAGAGTCCTGATGGCTAAGACTTTCCTTCTAGTCCCCTGAGATCCCCTGAACTGGTTGTTCTTCAGGCCCATCAGCCACCCCAGAATCCTTCTAATAAATCTCCACTCCTCTCTTTTCTGCTTAAGTTTCCTGGAGTTTGTTTTCTGTTACTTGCAACTAAAAGAATATTAGAAAATAATAGACATTAAGGATCATGAGCAGGGATGAGAAAGCTATGGTCTGTAGACTGGTACAGTACTTGATAAGTATATTATGACATTTTATATATTAAAATATATCCAAATACTTGGTGTTTTCAACTAAAGTCTTGGGCTATGTTTTTTTTTTTTTAATTTATTTATTTTTGGCTGTGTTGGGTCACACGTTGCTGCGTGTGGGCTTTCTCTAGTTGCGGCGAGCGGGGGCTACTCTTCATTGTGGTGCGCGGGCTTCTCATTGAGGTGGCTTCTCTCGTGGTGGAGCACGGGCTTCAGTAGTTGCAGCACATGGGCTCAGTAGTTGTGGCTCACGGGCTCTAGAGCACAGGCTCAGTAGTTGTGGTGCACGGGCTTAGTTGCTCCGCAGCATGTGGGATCTTCCCAGACCAGGGATTGAACCCGTGTCCCCTGCATTGGCAGGTGGATTCTCAACCACTGTGCCACCAGGGAAGCCCTTGGGCTATGTTTTAAACCAATAATAACCAATTGTAAACTGAGAAGAAAAATTAGGTTTATTCATTTTGTTTCAGGATCAATTTAAGATGCACAATTTTATCTAGCTTTTTTGTTTCCATTTGACCCATTGTCTATCAGGGGCACTTCTAATATCTTAAATTTCTTTTTTTTAAAAAAATTAGTTAATTAATTAATTTATTTATTTTTGACTACGTTGGGTCTTCATTGCTGCACATGGGCTTTCTCTAGTTGCGGCGAGCGGGGGCTACTCTTCATTGCGGTGGCTTCTTTTGTTGAGGAGCATGTGCTCTAGGCGCGCGGACTTCAGTAGTTGTGGCATGTGGGCTTGGTAGTTGTGGCATGAGGGCTCAGTAGTTGTGGCTCGCGGGCTGTAGAGTGCAGGCTTAGTAGTTGTGGCGCACGGGCTTAGCTGCTCCACGGCACATGGGATCTTCCTGGACCAGGGCTCAAACCCGTGTCCCCTGCATTGGCAGGTGGATTCCTAACCCCTGCACCAGCAGGTAAGTCCCATAATATCTTAAATTTCTAATCAAACTTCGTTGTTAAAATATTCATTCACCACGCATTTATTGAGTACCTACTATGTGCCAGGCTCTGTTCTAGGCACTGGGGATGTAACAGAGCACAGAACCAACAAAAGTCCCTGCCCTGTGGAGCTTACATTCTTGTCATTGTTGTTTTTCATTTGTGAAGTTTTGAAGAAGTTTATTTTTTCCTGTAGGTTTATTTCTGAAGAGGCAGATTTGCATTTTTTGACTGCTCTTCAAGATATGCAGTTTTGCAATTAATACTCTGATTGCTACTACATACTAAAGATCATGTAGGTTGTTAAAATGCTATATTAATTTTTTTCTTGAGAACTTAACCATTATCATTATACAAAGTTGTTTTTCCTGTTGGCCTGGAGGAAATAGTACTAGACTTAAGGAGTTTCTTTATATACGTTTTATATTAATAATTAAAATAGTAATATATCCTTCCACAGCAGTTCATAAGGTTGTGTTCATTTGGAGGGGAAAGTATCTAGAATCTCAGTTGTTGTCTTAGTTAAGTAAATAGTGTATACCTCTGATATCACCCAGTTAAAATTGTGATCGGTTGACTTTAGGAAAATTATTTCTCCGTGAATCCAGAACAGTTAGTTGTTAGTGATAATTATAAAATCAGCAGATGCAGTCCATGAGAGCATTTGTTCTAGGGAAGAGAAACTAAGAGTCTGCTATGACTGAGAGAAATTGAGGTGCCACATGCCTCAGATATCAGGATGTGAACATTCTGCTGGTTTCAGACCATGAGAGAAAACAAAAAGGTTAATAAAATAAATACTAAAGAGAGGAAAGACATCAAGTTGTTCAAAAGGAAAGATAAAGAAAACAAAAGAAACTATCTCGGATCTGACTAGCAGGGAGAAAATAGAAAAGCCCCAAGTCAGTGGTTGTCAAGTGCTTTTTATCAACAGAACCCTATACTTCTAGTGAACTCCGATATGAGACTTTTATTTAAGAGCAACATTTTATTAGGATAAATTTATAAAAGTTCAAGCTTTTAACATCACGCCATATAAAAACAACCTACCAGGCAGTTCTGTCTCCTAGGGGAGACGTCAGCATTTATATCAGAAGGTGATAAATCCCCGCACTATTCCCTCCTGCTCACAGACGCTGGTGAGGAGAGCGCCTTGCCCAGGAAAGTAATCAGGTTCAAGGAAAGTTAAGAGCTTCTGCCAGGCACTCTGTGCTGCTGGCAGTGCTGGACAGGAGCTCTGTTTAATGAAGCAGCCTAGTGAAATTTTAGGTATAAGGGAAAGTACTATGGCTTTGCGTGGTGAGGCACGGAGCCGAGCTGCTCTTCATAAGAAATGAACAAGACTTCTAGGGGCTGGGGCTGCCTAAAAGAAAAGGAAGAAAGACTTGATGAGATGGGACAGGAAGCTGGGGTCCAAAAAAGGATTATTAGAAAGATATTAGATGTTAAAAATTATTAGATAATTTTAGAAAGATAGCCAAAGAGAAGTTCCCAGTGACAGAAACATTCAAAGGACTTTTAAGAACATGAATGTCTTTAATAACATCATCCCCATTTTACAGATGAGAAAACTGAGGGTCAGAGAGGTTAAGTGACCTGCTCAAGGCCAAATAAAAAGCTATTCAAACCCAAGCTTGCCCAACTTCAGAACCCAGTCTCTCAGTGTACACTGTCAGCCTAAAGTTCCAAATTTTTAAATACTTTGCTTCACACTCATAAATAATGTTGTTCCTGCTTGTACCATGTTACTTACATGGATATAAATAGGGCTGCTTTTTTGGGGGGGTGGGGGTTGACTTTTTTTTTTTGGCTTTACAAAAGTGAGATCATATTATGTACACTTTTCTGCATCTTTCTCTTCTCATTCAACAGTACCTCATAAAAATCTTAAGTCAATTGGTTTAGATTTAATTCAGTCTCTTTAGTGGCTGAATAATAGTAATAGTAATGGTGTTGTTATGCCATAACTTATTCAGACACGGGCTTTGTTTCCAGCTTTTTGTCACTACAAAAAATGCTGCAGTATTATCTATGTGTGTTGTTTTTATGAACTAGCAGGGTTTTTTTAATTAACTTTTTAAAATATTGAAAATATTAAAAATTTAATATTTAATTTATTAAATATTTAATAATAGCAATCATTTAATATTTAATAAATTATTATTAATTAAATGGTTAATTTATTAAATATTAAATTTAAAAATTAAAATATTGAATATCAAAAATTTAAATATTAAACATTAGTATTAAATATTTTAATTAAATATTAAATATTGAAAATATAGTTAATTTACAATGTTGTGTTAGTTTCAGGTATACAGCAAAGTGATTCAGTTATATATGTGTGTGTATATATATATATGTATATGTTCTTTTTCAGATTCTTTTCTATTATAGGTTACTACAAGATATTGAATATAGTTCCCTGTGAATAGGCCTGCATTTTTTTTTTTTGAGGGGGGAGATTGCATACATTCAGGTACAGTTAGTGAGCAGTGGAGCTTGGATTTTTTTCTTTTTTTTTTTTAACATCTTTATTGGAGTATAATTGCTTTACAATGGTGTGTTAGTTTCTGCTTTATAACAAAGTGAATTAGTTATACGTATACATATGTCCCCATATCTCTTCCCTCTTGCGTCTCCCTCCCTCCCACCCTCCCTATCCCACCCCTCTAGGTGGTCACAAAGCACCCAGCTGATCTCCCTGTGCTACGCGGTTGCTTCCCACTAGCTATCTGTTTTACGTTTGGTAGTGTATATATGTCCATGCCACTCTCTCACTTGTCACAGCTCACCCTTCCCCCTCCCCATATCCTCAAGTCCATTCTCTAGTAGGTCTGTGTCTTTATTCCCGTCTTCCCCCTAGGTTCTTCAGAACTTTTTTTTTTTTCATTCCACATACGTGTGTTAGCATAACAATATTTGTTTTTCTCTTTCTGACTTACTTCACTGTGTATGACAGACTCTAGGTCCATCCACCTCACTACAAATAACTCAATTTCGTTTCTTTTTATGGCTGA